AGTCTCTCTGATGCAAAGGTGGTGATTGTCGACCGTTATCACCTCATCGACTCTCCCGTTGTCCATAGCACAGCTCCATTACCACAGGTTCATCCATCAGATACAATATACGGTATGTCCCATATATCCCTTTCAAGTAGCTAGACTGACCCGTTCGAACAGTTGTTTTCACCAGTGGCTCAACCGGTACACCGAAGGGTGTTGTCACTACTCATCAAAATTTTGCATCTGCAGCAACACATCAGAAAGAAATCTTGCATATTCGGTCTTCTTCACGGGTATTTGACTTTGTCTCATACAACTTTGACGTTTCATGGTCCAACCATCTGCAAACCCTGATCTGCGGGGGCTGTCTATGCATTCCGTCCGAATCAGAACGAAGGAATGATATCCCAGGCGCTTTCAATCGCATGAAGTGTGATTATGTGTACTTTACTCCTTCGGTTGCTCGCTCTCTGGATCCATCATCAATGCCTGGAATTAAATGCCTCGCCATGGGAGGAGAGCCTATCCCAAGGTCCGAGGTGGTGCGTTGGACTCAAGCAGAGGCTATAATTGGCATTTACGGTCCGGCTGAATGTGCCCAAGGTCTGTCGTTCATTCGTCTCGATAGTAATTGTCATAATAGCCTTGTTGGACTGCCATTTGGCGCAAATATGTGGCTGGTCAAGCCCGGATGTCCGGATCGCCTCGCCGCTATCGGGACTATTGGTGAGCTCCTCATTGAGGGCCCAACAGTCAGCCAAGGGTATTTCGCAGATCCAGACAAGACCATGACAGCATATATCAAAGATCCCTCATGGCTCCTACAAGGCACGTCCGCGCACCCAGGACGATCGGGAACTTTGTACAAGACTGGTGATCTTCTGCGCTACAACTCCGATGGGTCATTCGACTTTATCGGTCGGAAAGATGGAATGATCAAGTTGAGAGGTCAACGAATCGAATTAGCAGAAGTTGAATACCACGTTCGCGTCTGTCTGGGAGATGCAAGTCTCTATGATGGGGTTGCAGCCGAGATTATCAGACCACAGAACAGCAATCCTCTATTGGCTGTCTTCATTAGCCTAGCTGATACGGTTAGAGAATCAGAGAAGAATCCATCCGCCTTCACCGAGCTCATGGAAAGCCTGGAGCAGAAGCTTATCGATCGTTTACCTCAATAGTACGTGCTTCCCCTTGCTCTGATATTTTCTAATTCAAAAGATACGATGCTTAGTGTAATAATAGTATGATACCCGGCGCTTATATTCCAGTCGACCAAATCCCAATGACGACAACAAACAAAACCGATCGTCGAGCTCTTCGCGAGCTGGGCAATGCGCAAACTTTGGAGAGGCTAGCTGAACTCCAATCTCGTGGCCAAAAACATCGTGAACCATCAACCGAGATGGAGAAGAGACTGCAAGTCCTCTGGTCTTCTGTGCTCGGTGTGGAACCTGCCAGTATCAGCGCTGACAGCAACTTCCTACGTATCGGTGGTGAATCTATCGCTGCTATGCGACTCGTTGCAGCTGCACGGCCACAGGGTCTTTCACTCACCGTGGCACAAATATTTAAAGCCCCTCGTCTATCTCAGCTGGCCTTGTTGGTTACAATGAAGACGGAGGAAGATGAAGCGTTGCAACCCCAGCCGGCATTCTCGTTTCTGGAGACGAATGATCACAAGACATTCCTCCAAAATCATGTCGAGCCCTTCTTGTATGACAATGCAGGTATTGTCGAAGATGTCATTCCTTGTACCGACTTTCAAAAATGTGCAGTCATAGACGCGCTGCAGGACCCCCCCGGGAGACTGCCGATTTGGATCTTCGGGCTCCCCCACAACGTCGACTTTGCCCGACTGGAATGGGCGTGTAGAGCACTTGTGAATCATTTCGACATACTTCGTGCAGTATTTATTCAAGCAGGTGGTCGGTTCTGGCAAGTTCTTCTGGATGGGTTCAAGCCTATCTATGATACTCTTGATGTTGATGACGACGTGGGGTCTTTCACTCGTATACTTTGTGAAGAAGATCTCAAGAGACCGCGCCAATTAGGACGATCATTCATTCGCTTTATGGCCATCCGACATCAAGCTGGAAAGCATCGCCTAGTCTTCCGAATTGCACACGCCCAATTCGATGGATACACCTGGGGCATGGTGATCCAAGCTTTGGCAGCCCTGTACCATCAACAGTCACTGCCAACGCAGCCATCTTTCCGCCAATTCATAGTTTTCAATGAGCGCAAGAAAGAACAAAGTCTCTCATATTGGACATCAAGACTCCGGAACTACTGCCATCCCAGCTGGAGTCCAGCAAGTCGTCTTGATGCGGTATACAGCACTTCCGATCGAATGACAGTAACAACATCCTTCGAAATGCCAAACGTCCAGTGCCACGAAGGAATCTCCGGCGCGACCTTTTTCCATGCAGCCTGTGCCATTGCCCTCTCTCAACAATTCGGACAAGAAGATGTTGTCTTCGGTCGTCTAGTGACGGGACGCTCCATGCTCCCTGGTAGTCTACAAAACGTCGTCGGTCCTACCATGACTGAAGTGCCGATCACCGCATCCATCAATCCCAACGACACAATCGTGACTGTCGCACAGCAGTTGCAAGCCCAGTTCATTGATGACTCCGCCCATGAATCTGCAGGAATGGAGGAGATTATTCGAAACTGCACCGACTGGCCGGAGCAGGTGGTCGACTTTGGTTGGCGAACGGCATTCCAGCAGGAGGATGAAATGGAATTCAAGTTTCTAGACTCCGGAAGCACGATTACTGCCCACGAACATGATCTTCTTCCTCGAGGTCGTCCAGAAATTTATGCCACGCCACGCAACGGAAGGCTACATTTAGAATTCGAAGTAAACCGACGGCTTATCAGTGAGGATACTGTACGAGAGGTGTTTGCTCGGATCCAAAGTGTTCTGGGTGAAGTGTAGTGGGTCGCTCATTGAATAAGTCGTACATGTCTTGGCCCAAATTTATATCTCGCCGTTCTTTATTTCAATAGATCATTCCAAAATGTGGCACTCTGGAATTGAATAAACAAAGTGAAATTGTTCCGCCCCTTCCATCAATTTTAGCTAGATTTTCGCTCCAGGTTTATAGCATCTATAACAGTTGCTAGCAACATTCCCACGTTTTTCCAAACACAACGTCGCTCATTATGAACCGACTACTAGAGGAGCTGATGCTCCTGATAGTTGACAGAATCCCTGAAAGATTCGGAAGTAATTGGAATGGACTTATCGTCCTTCTCCAAGTCTGCCGTCGATGGCGATCTTTATTCTTCCAATTAGCCTATCATTAAACTTCACTGACAAAGCGAGAGACTCATACCTCTCACCGACGCTGTTCAAATATGTCCCCAGACTGCGTCCTCTGTCGAAGTTCTCGACATGGGCATCCGGGGAATTTGGGAACGTGATGAAGAGGAACGACCAGTAGTCAAGCGCCCGTCAGTGAGCAATTAGCTCGAAGAAATCGCCAACTCAAGAGGAATTTTTCCGCATACGGAACCAGGCTCTGAAAACAGGAGAGGTCCAATATCGACAAAAGGTACCTGGTTCACATTCTCCCTGCGAGTTTTCAATCCCGGTATCTTAACCAACTACCAAGAGAGCCAGGTTCTCCTGCTAAACCTGAGAGCGCTTGTGGGCTGTCTCGGGACACGATTTCTCAGTACTACACAGCTCGAGATCTCCCCAAACGTTGTGGAGTCATGCGTTCCTAGAATACAGAAAGGGTGAGTCTACCATGCTGATTGCTATCAGGCCCATGTCTCGGTATTAGTGGCCCTTGAACCACTGAAAGTCATCTGCGAAGCGCAAGTGTTTCATCGACCTGTTCGATGAACGGCACTCATCTAGCAAGGGTTAGATACTTATCTACAGCCAGCATCATGTTCTGCTAGATTCAGTGATGAAATGAAATTACCTTTGCAACCTATATATAAATTGAAAATAAATCAGTAAACGCTGAGATAGTATCACGCGCCAACTCCTAAATCAGATGTAGGATTCCTCTCCCTATCAACTCATCCTATTTGCGCCAATCTAGCAACCGCTACCGATTCCAAATTGCGACACCATTATCGAACATTGGCTTATTGCCCATTCTCTGATGCTGATCAGTATTGTTTTGAGTGCATGGAGTGCAGGGTTGCCGCGCATCGCTTTCCTTGATCCCTTCATATGCTATCATCATGTAGAAAGCAAAAGCTCGAGTATTATTGGTCCTATGTAAACCACCATTGTAAGTCACATACCAAAAATGCATAATATTCTGGACGTACATTACTCTGAATAATGTGCGGTGGACGCCAGGAGCCACGTGGTCGTTCGTGATTGATCAAAGCAACATGAGATACACATCCATGTTTTTACTACTTATGGAGTAAAGTGAAGGATATAGTGGGTCAAATTTGACATCCCGCCATTCAACAGAATGGTGCTAACTATCTGGTCCCTGTACGTATCGGCTAGTAAAGATATATGACACCTAGTGAGATCTGGAAGGGCCGGTCATTCTATCCAGCTGAAAACAGCCATTCTCTGCGCATTCCCGGGCTGGAGAAACGTTCTAAATACAGGTAAAATGGTGGGCAATGAAAAACACTCTTAAGGGGGGGCTCCGAACAACCCATAATTGACAGTGGAATAAACGCTGCAAAAGGCAGGGATATTCGGTACAGTCATGACAACTCGACATTGGATTACCACCAGGTCAACACTATGGCATAGGGGAGCCTCTTAGGCTTACACTTCATCCCTGCTTCACTTCTCCTTACATGAAGGTATGCCTGTCATGCAGTGGATAAAAATAATATACATAGAACATCTATAGAGAGCCAATCGGCTCAATGTGCTCGATAAGCAATGAGTGATCCCTTCACTTTTGAGCTTAGCTGGCCCAAAGCGTACCTAATACCCTATATCTCGTTGAAGACATAAAACCCACTCACTACCCGTGAAATAGATGTCTGAACACCCACATTCTAATCCATCAACCATGACTATTTCCACCCAAGGTCCCGTCCATCTCACCTTCGTTGGAGGAGGCCATCTCGCGCAAGCCATAATTAGTGGCATTCTCTCGTCTACCAGTACCTGGACCCTGAAATGCGGCATCGCAGTCACAGCCCGACGACCTGAACATATCCAAGAACTGCAATCCCGGTACCCGCAACTTCTGGTCACAGACAACAACCTCGATCAACGCATCTGGAAAGACGCCAGGATATCACAGCAAAGTTCCCCCCAAGCCAATGCGACATCCCCCATCCTCTTCATCTGCACACGCCCAGCAGATGTTCCCACGGTCGCAAAACAACTAGCGCCCACCCTCGAGTCGTTTGATCCGCCGGTCCGTCCTACCGTGGTGACGGTGTGTCCTGGAATCACCGTTAGCCAGCTCCAAGATTGGCTGCCGACAGGCACGGCGATCGTTCGGTCGATGCCCAACACGCCCGTTGAGTTCAGGCAGGGCGCGACCGGTCTCTTCGCATCAGGAGATGCCACTCTTCGCGTCAATCATGTCAAAACAGTTCTTGAGGAGGTATCTCCCCTTGTCTCTATCGTCCCGGAAGAGTCGATGCTAGATGTTGTCGCGGCTGTGTCGGGGTAAGTCTGTCTTTCTTCTTTTTTCCTCTTTTCTCTTCTATATAAACCAGTCAACAGGCCCATTAACTATGGAAGATAGATCTGGTCCTGCGCATTTCTTCTTCGTCATCGAATCCATGGTCGCTGCAGCAGAGTCCATGGGTCTTTCGAGGGAAGCTGCGGAGCCCCTAGTCATTCAATCCTGTCTTGGTGCTGGATTCCTCGCTAGAGCGTCATCCAAGCCAGTCGCTAATTTGCGAAAAGAAGTCTGTGTTCCCGGGGGAAGTACAGAAAAGGCGATTTCACATTTGAATCAAAGCGGGGTTCAGGAGTTGTTTAAGGTGGCAATCCAGAAGAGTTTAGATGCAAATTTGAAGATGCGGTTCTGTTAGTTTGTAGAGTAGATTGGGGATCGCATCTGATATTAATGCAACGGAAATGTTTCGAATCATGCTTTTTCATCATGCCTGGTGGGCGATTGGTTTTGGCACTCATCTGGCTAAAGTGCAAATAGAAAAAGAAGCTATAGAAAGGAGCCAAATATAATACGTACGTGGTATGTGATGATAAAGAAGAGAAGCCGTGAGTGTTGAGCACGTCTATATGAATCTTTGCTAGTTATACATAAACTGCTTCTACAACAGTATAGGCATAATATTGTTTCAGAAAGAAGTTATTATAATAGTCTTCTGGGTTATCATATCAGAATCTTCATGTCGGCGCAAGAGCAAAACAGATGAATAACATCGGGCTTCTGCTGGAGAGATACACTGCAATCCAGAAAGAGGAAGCCATCAGCCAACAAGATAGAGCTGGTCGTACGCCATTGCACTATGCTTGCCTCTAGAGGGGAACGGTCCAACTGCGCGCGTTGGGATGGGGGGTCCAGCAGAATCCCAATCTACCTATGTAATCCGCCTGTATAATCCACCCATGCACTTATCCTGCCTATAACTCTATTAATCTAAGGCTATTATAATAAGACCAGAGTACCGTCTGATTCTTCTTACTAAGACTATTTAAATATAACCCCTATTAACCCTACTCCACACCTATTTTATTCCTCAGCCACTATTAAAGTCTCACTACCTTTAGAAATATTATTTTTCCTCTTAATAGCTTTATGCTATCTCCTTTATCCTATCTCCTGCTTTCTGACCATTATTACCGTGTAGTAGGTGAAGTCTAGAGTGGATTAACCTCCCCGCATTAACCTCCCCGCCCCTCCCCATATCCGCTGCGGGGAGGTTATGGGGAAGGATTGCCTTAACCGCAGCGGGTAGTTGAGGTTAAGGTTAAAATTACTTAACAGCGGTTAATACGCCAGCAGTAATATTATTGGGAATGCGGGATTCCGTATTACCTAGTAATCTACAAGCATAAAGTAGACCGCCCTGGCCACCGCCCTCTGGGTCATCTCTTCTGACTTTTTTCTTCTTATTTTTCTACTAGCATAACAACGAAGCCAAGTTTGATTCAATTGACCAATCCCATCGATGAATCGTTGCCCGTTCTCAGGGAAGACAACTAGCAGGTGTAGGAACGAGAATTGACGAATTGACCGACACCAGTACCAGAGATCTCAGTACGGTAAAATGGCAGAATATTTCGGTATTAAACAGGAGCCCCATGGTGGACGCGTGAACCGTGAACTAAGCCCAGACAGGATTAGTGTGCGATAGGATCTCATAGTCGCGTTTCCTATGCTCCAGCGAAGGAGGAAAGACACATGCTCAACACTGTCCAATTGTACCTCCTGCGTATCAGTTATCATAATGACCAAAGAAAAGGCCTTAACCCCTAGAACCGGACGTGGAGACATCTTCATGAGCATCAAGCCCGAACATATGCACAGTATTGCGACTGGCGCAAAGAATCACGAATACCGCCGCTACCTCCTCCCATCGAGCGTTCGTCGCATCTGGTTCTACACGTCTGCCCCCATGTCGCGAATCGAACATGTCGCCCGCATCTCTCACGGCAAAGTCCCTGGTGAAGTCCCAGAGGACGGCGGTATTGGTAATGAGGACTTCAATGCGGGCAGAAAGGTCTCAAAATACGGCTATGAAATACTTGATTTGTGGAAATTGAGGGAGACAATCAGCCTGAAGTTAGCTATCGCAAAGGGGTTTTTAAAGGGTGCACCCCAGAAGTATTGTTGGGTCCCAGTCGCTCTCCTAGAGAGCTGCCCACTGGACAGACAGGATCATATAATCTCAAAGGCACCCGAAGAGCGCCCTGTTGAAAAGAAAAAGCAACATGATCTAGAAGAATCCAAGAGAGCATCCAGTTTGCCGGGACCGAGGAAGATATCAGAATTCTTTACGAAGTCAGATCCAGTGAACTAACAGGGAATGCTGAATTATGGGCCGTCATTAACTGTTACAATGAGAATAAATCCAGAGGAAGCAAATGTATTCATGGTCTAGTGGCCTAAGCAGAGCTACTCTCCTGGGCCAGTTTCATTCCCCGAGATATCAGTTGCCTGTCAAAATAATCAATGGTGTAGCTCCTGAAGAGCATATATGGCTTCTCTACCCAGTCCTGGACTTCCCAAAACAGCGCCTTTAGCCCACCTTCATTCTTCAAAAATGTTTCTGCATCTAGCAGGTAACTGCGACCTGCATCGCGTAGGTACTTGTATGCACCTTGCTTGACATACAGGCTCTTCGAGAGCTTGACTCCAGACCAATCAAGGACTAGAGGGGCATAGAAGATTATCGGGGCATTTCCAGGACGCTCTAGCAGCCGCCATGTCAGCTGTTCTTGGTAGAAACCGGCGTAGTCGGATCCAGTACACATAATCCACGACGTATCTGAATCATGACTGCAGATGAGGATCCGAATGAGATTGCGCAGTGGCGTGTTGAACTCGAGCCGTTCTAGATCTTGAGGTGATGTGAGATCCACATGATGGTCTCCATGATCAGGACACACAAACGTGACTCGACAGTCTTTATGGTACTGATTGTTCACACCATGTTTATCTGCTAGGCCGCATCCTTCCCACGGACACGATGCTCGAATAGCTAGCTTACCTGTTTCTGGTGACATATGTGAGCCAAGCTTCTGATGGTGGGCCACGATGTCCCGAACGATGGCGGGAAACGCGGGATTCGAGCGCCAGAAATGTTGCGTCTGAATGTCGTACGGTATACCAGAAAGCTTAGACAGTTGGTCCAGCACCTTCATAAATGGCGTTTGGTTGGCTCCAAAATCTCCTGAGTGTTTGAGACTCTTCTGATATCTGACCCCAGCGATCATTATCTCCTCTCCTGGGGTAGGGGCGCTGTCCACATAGACGAACTTAGCCCTAATCTCACGCCCAAATTTTGCCTTTAGGGCAGCAGCGAGGGCAAATCCTGTGGCAAAGGTAGTCATATTGCCAAGGTGCGGGCTGCTATTTGGCTGCGACCCAATATGGACAGCGATCCTAGGCCGAGTGCATTGGTCATTCAGATATCTGAGGAGGTTCTGCTTGAAATAATACGACCCACCACCGAAAGGATGGTGGACAACTCCATCATGGGGTATCATGGTGTTAAGTGTAGGAAGGACTATCGTCTGTATGAAAGCTCAATATCAATATTATTTGCCGATGGCTAGGAGCCGAACACCGGTGCATAGGAGAAGAGAAATGGAAAGGCTGGAGATGATGGATGACTTCGAACGAAACCATAAGATTCCTGAAGCTACCCCACCACAGTCACACTATTAGGGTTATTCGCGATCTCATAGTCCTTGTGATCCTACATCTGTTGATGGTTGTCCCCTCACCAGGTGTCTTGGCATTCGGACTCTACGGAATAAACTACTATAGCTCACCGCCCTTCGTACCTCCACAGTAATAGACAAGAGTCTGGGTAATAAATCCAGCTAAAATAAGTATACAACACGAGATGTGGCTGAAAGACCGAAATTACCGCTATGTACAACAAATTGAATTTGCAACTGTGGGTCGAATATATGATATTTGACTATTGTCTTGGCAGTGGGCCCGAGAAGCAGTTAATGAATATTCTGGTGAAACTGGCTTTGCTCTTGTTTGTAATTAATTGTCTCCTTATAAATTCGAATGCAGCAGGTGTTCAACCAATAGAGCAGTAACAATAATTGATGTCATGGCCTGCCGATGCCGAAATGTCAACAAAATATTTTTCAGTATGCCATCCTTTTTGCTTTTATATGGACCATCAGCTATTCCTTTCTGTGGTTGTATTAAGGTATATTAATAAAGGTTGATACAGAGAATTCTGTTGGTTGATTGTTGCATCTTTTTCTACTGTGATATGTAGTTATAACCTGCTACCTCTCCTTCCGCCTTGTGACGGATATGCTGCCACCAAGAAAGCAGCGCGCGGGGGTGGTACTGCCTCTGACAGCATCCAAAAGCTGCAGTCTTCTCCATTTTCTTGAATTCCCCTCTGAGGCTATTTAATATGAACAACAAGGTACTTTTTACCTCACGTACACCTCCCACCTAAGATTTTAACCCCCCTCCCCCCATTTCGCCTCTATCTTCAGCAAGTCATTGGTTTAAGCATGAAGGTGCAGTCTCACCTGTACATAATCGGCAACCTGATGGTGTCCCCCAAGAAATCGGATGATTGCAGTATAAACGCAGTCGCAAGATGGGCCATTAACCTCGCCCGTAAACGATACTATATTCAACACGAAAATTTTGCGCTGCTCCATTGTATACATAATAGCAGTTGGGACCAGGTTTCTGTCTCCACAGAATTTATTTTATTTTATTTTATTCATTCCTCCGGCTGTGCGCAGTCTAAGGCTGCATGTAGCCTCATTGCTGAGTTTGCTAAGTCATCTAATTACGGGTTTTTTTTCCCTTCCTATTTTCCGTTTTCCAGACGCCTTGCTATTATAGCAAATTGTATCACCTATCTTAACTACTTCCATGTTTGGTTTCCAACATTTTCTCTGGTCGATTTCTTGTCCTGTAAAAAGCTCTTCAATTCATTGGCTGGTGATAAGTTATCATAGCTAAAATTATGACGATATAAATATATATATATATATATATATTCTCCATTACCTTTATAAAATAAATTGGCCTGAGTACTTACTAATTTTTATACTGACTTAATATTTACAGATGCGGCGTTCCTGGCGCTTTCTCTATGAACAGAGGTTACAGTATTTAGGAAAATGTTGAAGTGATCTGGCACTATATCACTATTGATTCGAGATGTCTCTAATTTTTGCATAAAGGCTGCCTGTGTTCAGCTTGTGGGAGTATTTAGTATTATGGCCGATCTTTAGACAGATTGACGAAGTCCTTCTGGAAGTCAGAAAGTACTATAATGGATAAGCAAATACGCTCCTGCTTATGTCACAAGTGTACCCGCACATGCTACGCTATTTTAAATGGCATTCTGACGCCTGGTAAAGAGGGTTTCGTTTAGGACTGGGCACGAATATGGCATTACGGATGGTTGTACAAATAACATTCTCATTATTCGTATTTCAAGGTCTAAATGATTCATACTCATGGATCGCATTATATCCTGGTGCTTCACACGATTGTGCAAAATACATCCATCAAGATCTTTAGAAACGCTCTTGTATAGAGCCATGGAACCTATCCATACCTTGCACCCAATACTTCGTTCACTTCCCCCCCTCCGGTAAATGATTCCATTTCGGACAAGACAAGAAAAAGGGTCAGTCTATCTCTCCCTAGCCGTCCACCGAACCCACATGTACTATTCTCAATACGCGGACGATTCGAAAGTCACTGTTTAACTGGATGTAACCTGTACATAGCTGTGATCGGGAATGCTGCTCCGGATCTCGTTAGAGCATCTTTCACGGATCGAGGTTTAGACTACAATCAGTGAAGTGAGTGTGGTCAGACTTGGGATCATTTGTCTAGAAGGGCAACACATAGGATCGCTTATCCTGGTTAATCAGCACCTTTATGCATCTTGGCATGACCTAATATGGAATTTTATGCTAGGATGGGTTCTTGGCGGGTAACCCGCGGTCCGAACCCCTGGGTTTGCGGGTACGGGTCCTAATGTTGGACCCCAAACCCGACCCATGGCGAGGCCTAGGAATACTTACGTCAGTGGCACCTAAGGTTCCCAAAGCGGGAAATGTGCTATAGCCTAGCCCTGGCTAATCCTTTCTTCCTGTTACATGAATTTATCCCATCGCAGTCTTATTACGTCCATTCTTTGAAACAAAAACCAGATATATGCTCGTAGGATTGTGCCTTATCTGCACAGAACCACGGGTTTAGGGGCAATCCATATCCCCAACAGCTATACAATGCAGTACCCATTTGATCAGGGGCAACAGCAAACATGGACACAGGTGGGACAGTTGTTGGTGGCAACGGCACTTTCCTCTATTATTGGAATCGAAAGGGAATGGAGACACAAGAGTGCTGGGCTGCGTACAAACACCCTAGTTGGTGTCGGGGCTGCCCTGTTCATGCTGATATCCAAGCTTGGCACCCTTGATGTCCTGGATCGCTCCCTCGTCGTACTTGACCCCTCGCGGATCGCAGCACAGATCGTCTCCGGAATTGGGTTCATAGGGGGTGGTATCATATTCAGGCAACGCAACGAGGTACGGGGCCTCACTACAGCAGCGGGTGTTTGGTTGAGTGCAGCAGTGGGTGCCGCCTGTGGTGCGGGGCTCCTCAGGCTAGCAACTGTATCAACTGGATTATACTTTGTTGCCGTTCTGGTCTACCCAAACCTGCTGCACTTTCTACAGCGACGTTTCAAATCATCGGAGGATACGAGAATATCTGCTGTGGTGCGCTACCAGGCCGGGGCAAATGGATTAGAAACCGTATTGCAAAGTTTACTGGAAGCAGGGTTCCTTGTACATGGAATCGACCGGCTTGAAGAAGTACCTCATGACTATGAACGTAGTGGGGCAGCAAATTGGAACGATCGACAGCAATTGTCGACAGATTTCGCGCAGACAGAAGCGAGACCTTCGGCGCTGTGCGGAAAGAGCAGCCGAATCTTTAACGTTCATGTCACATTGGGCGGCAATGGTGTTGTAACTGACTTGATGCGTATGCTCTCCCAATTGGACTGCGTCATCTCTATCACGCCTGATGACGGTCAGCACAACGGAATGTGTTCGGATAGGTTGGCAGTTTAAATCATCTAGCTCCCCGGGTGCACGAAATTTGTGGGGACACTATATATTGACTATTAATTTATCAGCTTCTTAAGGAGAGAGAACGAGACGGTAAACACACGAAACTTCTAACTGAATCCAGTTTCCAGTTCATCTTATATAGCTATTACCCGTTTTGTTTTTAAGCATCGCTATGTTTCCTATTGGTCAGGCACTAAAATGCGGGCGGCAAGTTGGTCAGCAACTGTATACGAAGTATAATGAAAGGATCCAGACTCTGCTCTAAGCTTTAGGAGCGCTATTTTGGATTTACTACCTGCCTGTCTACAAGATGGCTGAACTAACCGAACCAACAACGCCGATACCATGATCCTTGGCTTTTGGCTAACATTTCCTAAAAGTTGCGTTTTTGATTTCGTTTATGATAGTAATTTCGTCCACTTGTCAGGGCCCTAGCTTACCTGGTCGAGCCTCGATTCACAACAATTACTATCAGTCGCGTCATAGAATACAAATGGAATATCTGACGATGACATCGGAAGCGAACATCTGGACTATATCCACTGAACATGACAAACAGGCCTTACGTATAGAAGAATCTAATTCTATACCAAGATAGGTTTTCATTCTAGTTTACTGCTTCTGGCTATAGCATCGGCAGGCAAAGCCTTCAGAATAGCCATGGCTTAGAAATATCACAAAGCTTCAGTTATGGACAACAATCTTAAGATGGGAGGGGTAATCGAGACGAATGGGGGAAGGATATCTTCCTATGTACCTTCAACAGGACAACAGACCTTGCATTCCCCGAGCGTAATATCGGACAGACCTCGCCCCTAGCCCGGCAACGAATGAAGATCTGATGCTGATTGAGTATCGGGCGATCAGTTGCATATCGCTGAGCGATGGAACTCGAACTGCACGGCCTGTAGACATTGAGTTTCCTTCAATCCACGACGTCTGGCTGGCCCCAGGCAATGACCCTAATGTATCGTAGTACTATTGAATTGTATTTCCCTTGACTCCAGGAGCAAGAGGCCTAGAAACTCCGGTCCCCGTATCATAACTCTCAAATGTCGAAGCCGGACGCTTCCCGCCACCTCCAGGAAGATCTGTGACAAACGAAATTGTCATAAACAGAGCGATTGTGCCTCGAATATGGGATTCGATATGGGGTATATCACGGAGCGGTGTACGCAAATTCTTAACGCCTTGAACTATATCCCCTTAGTAGACATAGTACTACTCGTATTAGTTAGACATTAGCACAAACAGGGCAAACGTACTGACTGAATATTGTTGTCCGTTAATTTTCGAACTAATTACCTCGTGGTAGGGGCATCGTTGTTCACTCCATTTTGAAACAGCGTCTAAGCCACTTGCTCAGCGATCCAAGATATCTCTTGGGGATAGTTGAATTGTGTGAGAAGGGCTACATTCTTTCCCTTCATTCGTCCCTGATTACTGACCTTAATCAGCGAGTCGGATTCGGCGGATATGATCAATCTCTAGAAGTGTGTTCGCAATTTCTCACAACTGTGGGGGCTCCAGGAAGGTATCACCGCCAGAAGCTATAACATCTGTTACTGCAGGTGTTCTTGCGATGTACCCAAATATGGGCTCCAGTATTTCTGTAAAGAAAACGTTTCTTGGACACGGTTTCAGTTTGCTGTCCAACGGAACAGGAGCGTGGACAAAATCGACAGTAAACAGGACAGGCAGAAGTTGCTAAGTATGGGCCAGACTAATAATTGATGTCCTAAGCAATCCTAACATTACCTAGAACAAGCACTTTGTCTGGGTACAGATGCACCAGTCCCTTGACGAAGGAGTCATGCGTTTCGTGAATTGAGTCTAACTGTAGCTGCAGACGATTCGGTTTAACAGTGGAAGCAATTGGGATGAACTTTCGCCGAATTGGGTCTGAATAACCCTCCTTCCCGTTGACCAGGGACAAGACATGGGGTGTTAGACGGGTTGCCATAGACGCCTCTTTTATCCCGTTTGCGATATCGACAATGAATTCAGCGCGGGTGACATGATCCTGGGCGCCGTAGATGAAGAACGGATCTCAGATAGCAGAGCAGCGGCGAGAAAGTTGAGCAACGTTTTAGGGGCTTGGAGAGAGCTTTTCATCTAACTGAAGAGTCTATGTAAGAGCTACCAAATCCGGTGTTGTAAAATCCTCCAATGTAACCAGTACTATGTAGTTCCCCTGGTTGTGTCCTAAATGGTAATACGTGTCGCGTACCGTCGACATTGCCTTCTCAAGATCCAATCTCCGTGGACAAGGCCATGTCCGCCACATCACCAGCAACAATATACCCTGTTCATAACTGTCAGCGACTATGTAGCTTCCAAACAACAAATCAACATGTGCAAAGTTTTCGGTGGCCGAGGCTCTCGTCCGCAGGGTTGTAGGGGTCAAAAGCAACCCGAGGGCGGATTTGCCACATGGGTTAATCCGCATTCCTGCGTTCTACGTTTTCTTTCATCGCAAATGTGTGCCAAATTTCAGTAACAGCTTTTGAATAACTCTGCATAGATGATGCCACCTTGGTCTTCGGTCGTTTATGGGCCGGATTACGGGACAACGTAGAGCTGCGCAGTTCCTCTCTCAGTCAACGTGTGATATGTGCCGCTTACGGACGATTACACTTGCTGCTGAATACTACACCGACATCAGCTTCATACTCCCAATCGCGGTCAGATCCGAGATAGGCTGATGATACTTGAAAAGCTTCTAAAGAATGTTGTTACTGGTTTTTATAATCAAATACCGAAAATCTCACTTCTACAATTCATCACCTTTCTGCAGAGAATATCTTACTAAAACTCCGCTGCCAGGGCCTTGAGAAGTGCCAGCGTAGAAAGCGTATTACTTTTAAATTACAAGCTTCTGATAGTGGTAGTACAGCCTTTACTCATCTAAAAAGATTCAACAGTTCCGCGATTTTCAAGCAGTAGAGAAGAAGACGCAGGCCACAAAGGCTTTAAAAGAGTAATAAAAGCTTTATTAACAGCAAGAAAGGAAAGAGAAACAACACTTATTTAAAGGAAAAAAAAAATTTCAGCGTGTCTTAATAAGAAATTAAGCTTTAGTTGATACAGAAAAAGAAGTACTACAAGGAAAAAGCATATCTTGCCTAAAAAGACTGCTGTACAGGTTTAAGATAGCTAGAAAAGGTAAACTAAAGGCCACTAGACTATCGATGTTTAAAATACTGGAGATTCTCTACTCCAGATATCTGAAGAGCTTATTACGGCGCCTTTGCCTATAAACTATCAAGTCATGCAGATCCAAGGGATAAGACTCGCAACGTTCGATAAACTATCATAGCTATCAAACAAGAAAAAAACGCTGAAGAAGAAAGAAAAGAGGATAAGAATCAACCAACGGTGAGACAATGAGGTATGACAGGAAGGAGGGCAGAAATACAACATTTGACGAATACGGAAACGAGGGCCAACGGCCTGAGTATTCTAACGGGCTTCAGCCCGCTACACAGATATGCCTTCCACATCGTTTTCGCGATAACTGAAAACTATAAAAACTTTCGGGCCTCAAGAATACTATACCTTAATATTTCTACATAATTTGAATTGTATGTGATTGAAAAGTGTCATTTTAGTTTGTGGTGCACGACCTCGAAATCGTGCGGCAGGTGGTGACCCACGTGATAGAATTAAACGAGACTCCATGTCCTTCTATCTGAACCCTAGCCCGTTGGGTTTGGCCGTTGGACTCTCTGAGTTTCTTCCATATTAAAGAACTGCTTTAGCTTTTCTGCGTCAAACTGGATTGGTTGTTATCTGCCTTGCTTTGCTCAATACTTATACTAGCAGCTTGCCCTAATCTCTGGAAGGCTTGTTGTACTGAGCTAGCTGGTACTAGTAGGCCTATATTATCTGCATATAATAAGGCTCTGATACCGGAAACTGCTCGCTCTACAGCTTGAAAGATTCCCCCTAAATAGATAGCGAAAAGAATTGGGAATACTAGTGAGCCTTATGGAACCCCTGATTCTATTGACTGTATAGAACATGGCTGTTGGTCGATCACTAGCTATATCCTGCTGTCTGCTAGAAAAGGCTGCACCCATTGGCAGAGGTCTGTGTCTAGGCCGGGATCTAGTATACGCTTCACTAGCCCTGCAGTATCCACATGATCAAAAGCCCCTTTTATTCTATAAACAGGGCCTCTACTAGCTCTTTTCGACTCCACGCTTGGTAAATCTCCTGAATCAGACAGGCTACTGCATCACTCGCACTGCGCTGCTTGCGGCTCCCCATCTGCCTTGAATGTAAATCTCAGACGCCTCGCGGTGGCTAGAAATAGCCTCAGCGGCCACCTTTTCTACTATCTTGCCTATGCAATTCAGTAGGCTGATCACACTAGCTTATTGGGCTTGCATAGTATGATACCCTTGGCTGTTTTTGCTGTAGACCTAGCCTAAAGCATCTGCGTACCAGGGCCACGTACGCGTAGCGTCCTATCTCCATCATAGCCGTATCACTTGGAAGTTAAGTCAATCTTCCATGTGCTTTCTGAACAGCCTGGCATCATTATAGTCGATTTCGAGATTCATATTCTCTCCGTATAGCTTCATCTCTAGGAACTTTAGGAAATAGACCCTCTCCGATTAAAGCTTTCTTCTCCTCTAGGGTAGCTTCCTGTTGCCCCTAGGGGCCCTTAAATACTGGCGTAGTCCCAGTGGTCTGAGATTTGCAGTATCTTAGTGCTTGCCAGCATCCGGCTATATCCTCAGGTACTAGTCAATCCTTCAGCTCTATCTGAAGCTCTTTAGGTTGGCCTATTAAAAGGCCTCCTGTGATGATCCTATTCACATTGAAAGATAATATCATTTATATCTAACGTGGCGATCCAACGAAACATTAAACGTAGAGAAGGAAGAGAAAAAGAAAGAGAAGAATTCTATCATACAAGAACTGTCGGATTTTGTGTTTTAGGATCAGATCAATCAGTGAATAGAGCGGACTTGGTGCCTTAGGCAGGGTTCTGCCTAGGTCCTGACACCTCCCACCATTCGCGCTTTGCTTTCATAGTGCTATAGTAAATATCTCGAGCTTCCTTTAGCTCCTACCAGTCCCTAGGCCTGATTCCCCTGCTCGTTTAGGTCTAGCATATTCTTGGCGACTATCTTTAATCTGTTGTCCCCACCAACGCTTAGAGAATGGGGCCACCCTCACAGGGTTAGCATGTTCATTAAGCACCTGGTTGAAGGTGGTTTGAAGCCATACTGCCTCCTCCATCTCAGCCCTACTGTGGTTATCTAGTAGAGCTGGTTGGCGTGCTGCAAGCGCATTCCATGTCTGTTTAGCCCTGTCCAGAGCCTCAGGATCTGCGCGCAGGCTTCCAATATGCCACCCAGTCACCTGTTTACTGGTTTCTACCGGCCTCCATTCCATGTCCCTCCGTACAACCAATATCAGTACATGGCCTGATCCCGTAGGGTATTCGTTGTCTACTAGCCAGCTGTCTAAGAGACCTAACTCTAGAGTAGAAATAGCCAGATCAATGGTTGAGATGTCTGGAGTGCGTTTGGGCCGGGTAGGAAACCCGGGTGTATTTTTGACGTGTAGATCAAACACTTCACAATCGGGTTTTCTAATGGTACTGCATTAATGCGCTGGCTGATTCGGGGGTTCTATTAAGGACTATGGGCATTGCAATCACATATTATAAGACATACAGTGCTATTACCCCTGAAACTACGCGGGAAATAATGAACTTGTCAATTCGGAATATCCAATCCCGTGTCGCATAATATCTAATGGAATGTCTGCCTGGCAATAACAATACGACGAAATTCAAACCAACTGAACTTGTGTTACGGGTTATCGATATCCCTCTTTTGATTATCTTCGATTTCCACAACCCGCTGGGAGTCACTCATCTCCACGGTCCGACCATCGGCGACAAGCTCAGCAGGCATGCTCTGAATATGTGTAGGGGCGGGGAACGCAGTCGGCGGTGTATTGAAAACGGTATTGGAATCTTCCGCTGGCGGTGATTGTGGTTGTTGTCGAACGACTTCCTTTGCTGGTGAATTGACATTCGTCGTCGTCATTTCTGGCCGAGGATATAGGGGCTTTCTCCGACAACGACCCAAGAAGAAGGCCACTAGAGCAATGAGGACTGCACCAGCTACGGAGCCAATAACAGCGCCTGCGGTTTGGCCCCCTGAGAGCGAGGATGATGGCAGTTGTGGTTGCGGTGTCGAAGAAGGGAGCTTGCTCTGATCAGTTGGGGTTGACGTGGCGGTGAGTAGTGATGATGATGAATAGCCGGTTTCAATCGAAAACGAACCCAAAGTCGCACTGGGGGCTTCGTTCCAGTCTCTATTGCTGCATTCATACTTGTAAAGGTTCGTGCAGTTACGGTCCTCGTGCAGATAGATACACCAGTCCCCGCCCTGGGCGTCCCAAAGGAATTTATATTTTGTGGATTGGTCGATGGGTGTGCATGGCTGGACATCATCCGAGTGCCACGAGTTGCGGTCGTTGGAGGCATTGCGTGTGACGTATACCCAGGCGTTGGCTTGGGCCACGACAGAAAGGATACTCAGAATTGGCAGCATTATTTGACGGTTATCATTTGTGGGTGGCTACTCTGCGTGGAGGGAAGCGGAATCAGCAATTGCGAGACGGAGAGAGACAGGGAGAGAAATAAAAATGACAGAGATTTCTCCATGGAAACTTCATGCCATATCCTCCATTTCACATGATTAAGATTATGTCATGGTCAGTATTTGATCTACATTATTCTTATTACGTATTAATATTGGCGGATGGGTCATTGAATTCGCCTCGGACTCAGCTATGATGAAAGGGTCTTTACCCAGATTATGATATTGGAAATTAAGGACTTGGAGACTCTTGCTTCGGCGCCATAATTTCAAGGGCACTATAGCAGTGTCTGAAATGTATTAGGTTTATTATCTGCTCCAAGGACTTGACCTCGGGGCATGTTTCAAGGTAGCTGGTCCTCATGAGCATCTGCCTATGGCATTGAACACAAAACGGTGAGATATCGCGTAAAACACAAGAAATGATTCTTGCGATAAACCTCCTAAAAGACTTTCCTCAGTTTGTTTGGTCTTCGTAGAAAGTCCGCGTCTATAATCTTGTAACCTATCAGCCTGGCCTCCCCGCCACGTTTTGCTCTTTACTGTTGTGAATTGAGACCTCGACAAAGAGAACATGATAGCCTCATGTACGGAATTAGTTCCATTCTGAATGATTGGTGATTCATCTGAAATCCATCTCGTATATAAATCCTCAAATTTTCAGATGAAATCAGTAATAACAATCAATCTTCCTCTGAACTACAACATATACAGCGGTACATATTCTAGCTAAGATGCTGATCATCCTGCTCCATTCCCTAGCACTAACAGGCTAGTACGTCCAGCGCGCCCCGCACCTCCTTCTTGGCCCGCCCATAAACACAGCCTACGTTCTCTACCTTCCCATCTACGTAGGTGTCACAGGGCGTGTCTGACCCCTCATCTCAGGGGTAGACACCTGGTAGCGACCATATTAATCTGCTCGTTTGGGTCGACTACGGCTTGGGATATGTACCTCCCTTTTCATTGATGGCGTTGGAGACCTACCCGACGCAAATCCGGGGCACAATCATGTTATTAGAGTTCATATACAAGAGTCTGTTGGAGTCTTCAGCTTTGTAGTGCTGGCGACTGTTTTGGGGGTGCTTGACATTTCCGGAGTATAAGGCACAGGTCAGTTGGTTGGGGGGGAGGACGACTGGGGGATCGATGGATCCGAGGTGAGGAAACTGTTTCATGTCCATGACATAAATTGTTTGTCGTTGGTCTGATAATAGTGCTCTTGAATTTATAACCAGCTACCAGCCAACAACGCCGTAAACAAACTGATTGAGCTTCAGTCTCTTCCAGGGGTGTAGTCGGATTGTACACAGTATGTGATGCCTACTTCATAATACGGCCAATCCCAGAAACTGAAGTTGAGTCACCGGTCATGCCCTGTGTCCAAGCATTGAAATTACTCTGCTCCGAGTTACAATGAGACTCAATGCTTAGACTGTTTCCTTCAGCCTAGTCAACCCTTGGCGCACAATGATGTTACATAGGGCCTTGGCAGCACAGACCACAAATCTGGCCATGTGATTTCACTGTGTTAATTGGCCGCCTTGTCGGCAGGGGGGTCCCAACACGAAGAGGGTATGTACACAGGAAGCGATGGATGCTTATTTTATTGGGTGGCCGCGGACGGTGGTTGCGAGTGACCTGAAGTCAACTGTTGATCTGATGTGATTTCTTCCTGCGTATTAACGGACTTAGCAGTCACGTGGAAAGGGTAAGGGTTATGCAATCCTTGGAGAGAGGTGCTATGACCTGTGTACACAGTCTACAAGATTTTTGTATGGGAAAACAGGCATTACATTAGCAGCATACATTGTAACGCATTTCTCTAGTGACCCGCCACCACAAACGAGCAGCCACTTCCGCTCCAACTCCGGATCGCGGGCTAAATATTAGAGACTTTATCAACCAAAAAATTGCATTTCTATAGAGAAACTAATTACTAAATGGATTAGAATATTTAACTCTAGTATGCCCTTAAATATGACAATTAGAACACTACGGTGGCGCTTGTACACGCGGCCCAACTGCAGAAAGTACTGGATCTATAGAAAGTGTATCTTGAGCTTCATTCTCGCGCTACAATCACTTTAGACTCTTCTCTATATCCAATCCCTCTATAATAGCTGGCTGTCTATTAGAGCACTTCTACTTTTAGTTTTACGATTTATTATCAGCGCGGTATTTGCGTATTTCTTCACACCCAAGAACAAGCTTATTTAGAGTTAATTTATGACCTTTAATAATCTTATGTATTTATATTTTAAGCCATTTATCTTGGCTTTGAACATGTTTTCTAAGCAGTTTCCTTACTGTAGATACCTGCTTCTCCAGCTGCCTAGTAGTATAGGGTGTTTTAGGCGCTGAATTGGTTGACTGACTGCCTGGTGATATAGGGATCTTTAGACATCTAACTTACTAAGCACCCTATCTGGATCAAGTGGAACTAGACCAGTGTCTATAAAGCTATTGTGAATATTATCTACTGTAAAAGCGCTTTTGCGAGCTTCTGGAAATATTCTCAGAAAATCAAGCTTATTAGTATAGCTAATTCCTAAGTATATTTTCTGCTTCCCTAAGATGCCGTACACGTCTTTTAGAGACCAAAAACAGCCTATACCTAGAGGCTGGAGCTTGTTAGGAGAGTATATAGGCATGCAGATAGAAATAATATTATTTTCACTGCAGATTTGGTTGAATGGAGGTGTAAGATGGCTGCTATGGCTGTCTATAACTAGAAGACAGTATTTCCCAGTTATATAGCTAGTAGTCACAGGAATAAAGAGACTTTTAAGCCAGCAAAGGCCTATCTCATTAGTAGTCCATTTCTTAGGACTAACTTCAATCCTGCTTTTAGGTAGGAGCTCTGGTTCTTGATACCAATCCTCTATATATATACCTTTTCTTTAAAGATAATGCATAGAGGAAGTGTCTAATCAGTAGAGTTAATATATTCAATTGAAGTGGCATATTCCCGATTGCCTGGCTGTACAAGAAACGCTTTTCTATAATAATCAGGGAACTACTCGGGCAGTAGCTGCTAGGCCTATAGCACGTGATGAGGGGCCTTAGAGAAGCAAGTAAGTATCAGGCCGTAACAACAGATTACCACTCTCGCATCTACACTCCTCGACGAGAAGACCTTTAATTATGAGCAACGACCTTCAAGTTTGGCTAGAGCCGAAGCGCAAATCTGTCGAAGGCCACACGGCCCAATGCACCCTCTCCTTTAATGGCCGTGTTATCTGGGGGCCCCGCCACTGCCACAACAATACATACCAGCTGCGGGATGCCCTCTCCGCCGCGGATCCCCGCTTTCAACTCGCCATTTCTAACAGGCGCAAGACGGTCGAAGGCCACACATACTCTATCAGCGTCAAATCCGGCAGTCGGGTTTATCTGAACCGACTCTCCACTCACGGTCACATGAAAGAGTTGTGTCAAGCCATCAATGACTGTCTAGCAACCGAACGCGGGCGCACTCAGCCTGTACGTGGCTCCGGTTCTATTGTATATCTACTTGAGACCCTTGTCCCTTACAAGTTATAGGGTAAACCCGACCCAGCACCGCCATCTCAGGGCCCCCCCCAACAGCGACCGGGTCCTCCACGACCTCAGGCAACCCGCCCTAACGGACGCCAGGACTTCGAGATAGCCATTATCTGCGCTCTAAAAGTGGAGCGCGATGCTATCGAAGCCTTTCTAGACGAAGAGTTTGAAGTCGGCGGATTCTCGTATGGAAAAGCGCCAGGAGACCCCAACGCCTACACCACGGGTCGAATCGGGCAGCGAGCCGTAGTGCTGGTGTCCATGCCGGACATGGGAAAGGTCAGCTCCGCCAGGGTGGCAACCGGGCTTCGCATGAGTTTCGCACAGATAAAGGTCGTCTTTCTTGTGGGCGTTTGTGGCACCGCGCCGCGAGATGCACAAGGCCGGGAGACATTTCTCGGCGATATTATGATTAGCACAGCCGTTATCCAAGTGGACTTCGGGCGACAGTACTCGGACGAATTCCTTCGAAAGGATACTCTGGAGGATACTCTCGGCCGACCGAATCACGAGATCCGCTCCTTCCTCCAGAAGTTGGCAGGGAAGCGCACGAGTAACAAGCTGGAGGACAACACTCTTAAATATGTCGCGGAGCTTTGCGCTAAGGACAGTGAATATGCCTACCCTGCTGGAAATCACGATATGCTGTACCGTGCAGAGTATCGTCATAAACATCAGAATGGCCACTTGTGTTCAACCTGTATCGGTTGCAATACCCCAGATGACCCTGTCTGTGGAGCTGCTAGGGGGTTATCCTGTGCTGAGTTAGGGTGCAGTAGTGCGCAGTCAGTCCCGCGCAAGAGGGAGGGGAGAACTCACCCTATTCTTCATTTTGGCCGCTTCGCCTCTGGAGATAGCGTCATGAAGAGCGGAGTTCATCGTGACAAACTCATTGCCAAAGAGCAGGTGATTGCGTTTGAAATGGAAGGTGCAGGATTTTGGGACTGTCTTCCTACAGTAATCATCAAGAGCGCTTGCGATTATGCGGATAGTCACAAGAACAAAGTCTGGCAGAAATATGCCGCTGCAACAGCTGCTGCGTGTACAAAGGCAGTCCTGGATGAGTGGAGAAGCAGTCAAGGGTCGTAAGTTGAACTGGAATTAGATGACTAACTGACAGCATGTCCCTTCGGCGAATTGTGCATGCAACATGTGCCAGACTATATCAACTGCCCTTCATCTAAAGCTAGCTGGTTCTATAAGGGTACCGTCATAGGGCGTCGTGAGGTTCCGTTCTTATTTGTCTGGAACGCTGAGAGACCTAGGCGTTCTCCCGAGTTACAGGCTGTCATCACGCCACCTGCACTCTGTCCTTGCTAATCTGCTGTAATGCGTGAACAAGCACGAATGAGATCGTCTAATGTCCGGACAGCGCAATGCCCACTGCAGGGGTCAACCGAGGGCTCAGTTGACCTTCACGCCCGCTGATTGGTCCGACGTTTGATGTTCCGCGGTGCGTGTTGATAATGCTCTCTCTATATATACTGACTGGCAAACGGGATAACAGAGGTTAAATTTTTGACCTTTTAAAAATGGTATTCCAATTTAGAATTATATGTTATCTAGTGTTTTATAAATGAAATTTATAACGTATTCTACAATCGAGCAGTCCACACGGCCGAGCCGTCCACTTTCCCCACGCACCCCAACAATCTAATAGAGATCATATCTCTACGCGTTGTTTTTCTACCATAACTATTAGAAAATGCCTCTTTCTCAAGAAAATCGAGCTCAAACGGCAGTACTCGCTCCAAAAACTAAAAAGATCCCATCTAAAACGCCTGCTGCTGAGATATTTGGTGTGCCTAAAACAATTAGAGTGGATTAACATCCCCTTCCCCTCCCTGTGTTAGGCTCAGCTTAGGGTCTGAACTTTCCACTAGTCAAAAAGACTACTATGTTTGACCCATCAGGGTTCAAACTTCCCTAAACGCCTTATATAGTATTGCACTAATTAGGTGACGCACACCACACTTAACACCCCGTTTGCTAGTCTAACTCTAAGAAGAGACCAAAAAAGAGATTAAAAAAGTGAATTAAATACTATAATAAAGAAATTATATGTAGAGAAAGTAGACTACTATATCCTAGTAGTTTATTAGGGTTCCATAAAATCTCTAGAAAGGTAAGATAGTCTATATAGTCTATAGGAACTACATACCATAAGCTAGCTGCTAGGTAACAGACGTAATCAGACATAAATAGTATACCTGCACCGGAAAATTGGGCCGACTGGTATCTTATAGCTGGTGAGGGGCTCTAGATGCTTGTCTTAGAATAAGAAGGGTAATTAGAGAAATACTCCGCTAGGCTAGAAGAACACCCCTGCTAGACTGGGAGGGATTTATAGGGCTGCGCGTACGTAAGCTGGAGGAAAGAGAGGCTGTGCCATCGGGCAACTGCGGCTGTACACTATACCTGCACCTGCATTCTTTCCTTCATGCTCTCGACTGCTTCCCATTCCTTCATGGAATATGGCACCCGTCGATGATGAGAGCAGCGTGACCATGCCCAGGTACCCTACTTCAACCCTATCCCGGAACATATGGGCTGTTGAAGACTGACAAACAAAGCTATTCAACCCGATTAGATAAAGCTCAGATCCTCCTCGAAGCCGACGAGTTCGTGACCAAACACAATCTGCACGATGCCCGAGACCTGATCAGAAAGGGCGCTCTGTTATTTTATGATCTCCACGATTACACACGCGTTGAAGACCTGACCGAGGACGAGATAGCCGCATTGCACAATGGCAAAGAGAACGCAGGCTCATCAACGGCCTGGGCGTTCTGCGGTCTGGCAGGACTACTCTAGTCAGTCACTTTACGGGCATATATCATTGAGGGCTTGTCTGACAATCGGTTATTTGATAGTGCCCTATTGGGGTTGTCACTTCGCATGGATGACTATTCTAACTTCTGGAACCCTAGCCACAAGTATCGCTATGGGTAAGACTGCCTCATGCTACCTTAATGCGTTCGCTAATATTCCTCCGATAGAGTCCTGTTGGTCGCAATCCCGCTGCTAGAACACCCGTTTGCTGTGCTTCTAAGCACCCGCATCGGTCGACGTAAGGCCCTGTATGCCGCATCAATCTTCGCCATGCTGAAGGCGTGTCTCGCCGTTATCCCAGGGAGCTTCGGATATTGGTTTTCGGGATTTGCAGCCCCAATTGTCGACCGGTTACTCTGTGGTATAGCAATGGCAACACTAATGTACACCGCGCCTCTGCATCTCGCCGAACATGGTCAGGCTTCCTCTCAGGGCCGCGCAATGACAGCCTGGTATATGTATGTTTTCATGTGCATAGCTAAAGCGCTGCACACTAACGTTACCTCCTTCAAAATAGGGCAGTGTCCTCCTGCGACTGTATATTGAGAAGCACGGCAGTGACAATCCTTCAACTGTCAAAATATATGGACTGGATCCATTTCGTGATTCTTCCCATCGCCGTATTGCTTATTCTGTCATTGCCGCATCTGGCCCTGGGATCACCCTACAAAGGCGCACGGCCTTCTTCATCCTTCCAGTTGACGTCGACTCCCGCGCTAAGCAACCGTTCAATGAAAGCTAAACTTATCCTCTCGGATGCAATGGCATAGCGCAGCGCAGAGGAGCCGTTATTGTCAAGGGAATAGGGGTCAGAATCTTTATTTAACAATAATGTCGCTACCGCCTCCTGCTCTAGATAAAGAGCGTACAGAAGTGGCGTGCGCCCTTGTCTCCCCTTAATATTTGTCGATGCCTCAGCCTCGAGTAAAAGCCGTATTGCAGCGATGGTCCCGAATCTGGCAATTGCGAGGTGCAGGACTGTGTCGCCGTTGGCATTTTGCGCGTTTATGTCTGCTCGGACGGCTCGGATGTCCAGCAGTAGCTCTAACTTCTTCGTAAATCCCTCAAGGTTGCCTTGCGCAGTAGACAGGTGTAGGACGGTCTCACGACCTGGTTGTGTGCGTATCTGTCCATCGGCGCCGTATTCCAGAAGGAGTTGAACCCACTCGACGGGCCCATGTTCTGAGACGATGTGTAAAGCCGTGTAGCCGTTGTGTAGTCTGTTGAGGCTTGGGTGGGTGTCAGGAGGGCTTGGAGCTTCACTGTCCTGGCTCGGTCGTGGGTTCGGATTGCTTAAAGGAAGTTCCAGAGTTCGGTGGAGAAGTAGTCCTATATTTGAGTTACTTAAAAGTTCATTGTTTGGTGATGGTCAGAACCGGGTTCGGAGATACCATCTCATTGGTGGAATATGAGCTCAGTCGGGTGAATGTATTCTTGAGAAGGCCACGCCATTGTGTATCGGCGACTGATAGCTGTGTCGGGCTCGTGAGGCCGTGGGATATCCCGACTGCTGAAATGGTATCTGTTGTGCTAACGAACTCAGGGCCTATGAATTCCTCGTTCCTGTCCGGAATAACCCAGCTACTGGAGACATCCACCGATGCTGATGGACGAGCGTCGGGAAGCGGCTCCAAGAGTCTCTTGATAAAGCCGCGCCCCGTAAGGCCCACTTGGTTATCCCTCAAGTGTCCCTCGGGGAACGCTGCGCGGCCCTTGGCATAGTCAAGAAGTGACTCGTATATGCTGAACGGCACCTGCTTGGTCAGGATGTAATACAGCAGGCACCCGAGCGACCAGATGTCGACCGCACTGGTAAAGGTCGAGTCCTCCTTGGTATCGTCGAGGAGATGCAAGACCTCTGGCGCCATGAAACCCGGAGTTCCGCAGCCTGTTCGGGGCTCTGTTTGCCCCTCAACTGCGCGCTTGCTCACTCCGAAGTCTGCGATTTTGACTTTGATTGGAGTCTTCTCGGAGACTAGGACGTTCTTTCTGGGATGTTAGTTGCTATACAACTCTCATCTTATCGATCGCCATGGAGATGGGAAGTGGGATGGACCAGCCTCTGGTTTAATGTCACGGTGCACAATGCTGAGACTGTGTAGCACTGCTAGACCCTCCAATAGTTGTGCACATATCTCCCGGGCCTCTGGCTCAGAGGTAGGGTTGGGATAGCATCCTTTGAGATCCCCATAGGGACAATATTCCATTGCGAGACAGATATAATCCTTGTATGGGAACCAGCCGATGAAATCGACGAAAAGCAGTTTGCTAGATGGCGGGTCAGCAGCTGAAAGTATGGAAACAACGACGCAGAATTCACTCTGTGGCCTGAGAGACTCCTCCCATAAGATCCAACTCCGACCGATACTTCACCCTTTTATCCGTCGTGGTGACTCGTTTGACTACTCGCACCTGCCCCGACTGCGACTCCTCGACGTACACATCCTGGGTCAGATCGCGCTTCCTAGTCCATACTATTACTCTTCTGTTCTCCTTCTCTGCTTGACCGGGGTTATGCTGCAGGATCTCTCTGTTGCAGTTCTCGGAGATGACAGTAACGTCGAGTCTGAACCTCTCAGCTATTTGATCCATGGTTTTGGAGACAGAGGTTGGATAAGGCTGAAGCGAGGCTGAATATAGCCAGTCACCTGGCCTCGTGCCCTTAAAGTGCGTAACTGCCCCTCATCAGCCCAACAACATTTTCATTCTCATGGATCCTGTGTCTTTGGCTCTGTCTATTGTCGGGGCCTTGGATATATGCCTCATGTAAGAGCCCCCACTACTCTTCGATAACCGCTACAAACAGACTGATGTTTTTCTCATATAGGTACGGCAAGCGCCTCGTTGAACTATGTCGTGACATACGCAACGTCCGAAACGACATCGCCCAGATTGCCTTGGCTATCGAAGGTGCATGGCTGAAGACAGAGGTCCAGCTGGGTTTGTTGAAGCGCTTATCGAGGTCTGGATCGTTAGACCCTGCCTTGAGTGCCCATTATGGAAAGGCTCTTCAGCGACTGCGGGTGAAGATTTCAGGAGCTGTGACGGGGTTTGAGGCGGTCCACAAACGCTCGGTTTCTGCTACTAAGTTTCCCCACAATGCGTGGACTGTTTATTTAAAGCGACATCTTGAGGAAGTGGTTAGTGATCTCGAAGAATGGCAGCGCCGGTTCGATCCGTCGTGGTATCTTATTACTTTCATTGCGAGCCCTCTTGTGGACAAGCAGTTGGAGTCAAAGCATGAGGAGCCTTCAGCGGCAAGGCTGTTGGAAATAAGAGAGGCTGTGAGACAGATTTCGTCTACGGAGAATGCGACAAACGAACCTGTCTTCAAAAGTCCGACGCTTGTAGAAGAACAGCGCCAGCATATCTCGGGCACTAACACCTATATCTCTCGCTATGTTGACAGTAGATGGGAAATCCTATTAGATAGTACGAGCTACACCCTCAGATCAGCTTCGACAAGCAGAGCCCATGTCAGAGACCTAGCACGACTCCTCCACCATGTTGTCCCCCCAACATTCAGCCTCTTGAAATGCGAAGGTGTGATCGAGGTCCTTACAGACCAAGATACCCAATACCAGTTCATCTTTGGGATCCCCCTCGGTCTAACTTCCCCGAGAACCCTTCGCAGCCTTCTTATGGAATGCCCACTTATCTCCCTGAGCAAGTGCGTCCAACTCGCTAAGCAACTCGCCCGGTCCATTATGTTCGTCCATACAACCGGCTTCGTGCACAAAGGGATTCGCCCGGAAACAATTCTTATCTTCCACGAAGGTAATCAAGATATCGGTCCTTCTTTCCTGGTTGGGTTCGAGCGTATCGGACGTGCAGAAGCTCAGACTGATCTACTTGGCGACCTGGAGTGGGAAAGGAACATCTACCGACATCCCGTGCGGCAGGGGCTTTGGTCCGAAGAAGCGTTCATCATGCAGCATGACATTTATAGTCTTGGAGTCTGTCTGCTTGAGGTTGCGCTTTGGGTATCTTTTGTTCGCCATGATGGCAACGGGATGACCACTCCTTGGTCTGACCTGGACATCTAGGATGCCATCTCAGATAAGATCCCGGCGTGGAGGATTCGCCATGAAGAGAGAACTCGTCTCAATGGCTAAAGATTGGCTTCCTGTCTTAGTGGGAGATCGGTACACGGATATTGTGCTTGCGTGTTTGTGTTGCCTTGATGTAGTTGGCGATAGTATCTTTTCCGATGTCAAGGACAATGATAATATTGTTATAGGGGTTCGCTTCATTGAAAATGTAAGTTCGATCTACTTTGATGAGAGACATGCACTGACCTGCTTTAGGTACTGGTAAAACTAGAGGAGTTACAGATATAGCCTCGTTCAACAGTCAGTCTGATGCGGAGTTGGGTAGGGCTAGGCAGGTTAAGATTGCATTCATCATAGCATGAGAGGTACAGGCACGATACTTGAACTAGATAGAATAGAAAAATTTGTTTCCACATTAGAACCAAGCTATTGGCTAAACACTGCCCCGATAGTGTCGAAAGCACCGGAGTACCTGTTACAGACAGTCCCTTGTCTAGCGTACCTTATCGAAGGCTGACGCGAGGGGCAGAGTCGATAGGATACCGATAACTAAAAGGCACCTGACACCTGAAGGAATACTTCTGATTAGACTGGGACATATCCGCGGACGTATATATATATATTCATAACCTCACTACACCTTTATGTACTCCCATATAAGTAGGAGCACATCGCGACTTTGTCCCCTTCCTTAGACTGGCAACCAACCGGGACACTAACCGGTCCCTCGGAGCGATATATGACTAGTTACCGCGTTACTAACAGCGAGTTGCGGTAGTAGCGACTAATAGGCTGAATATAAGGGGCAAAAACTACAGGCGCTTGGATAGATTTGCTTAGTTGCCCTTTACTTCATTATCTCTATTTACTTGTTTTAAAGACAGCTAGCGTAAGGTAAACCTAGAATATTTAAGCCTAAAGGCAAGGGCTGCTTCCACTTAGTACTTATTGAATCGCCTCATTTCATTGGCGGGGGAGAATAATTTGTAGAACTTTTGCTCCTTGGCAACTCACGATGAAACCATTCGTGCTTTTGTTCACAGGCCTTCTAGCATTAACATCCGCGCAGAACGCCTCTCCGTGTGAGATATGTTGCCCCTGTTTTCAATCCTACGATGTTCCACAAGCAAGAGCAGAGAGACAGTGCTCAGAAATGGTCAAGCAATTGTGATTATATTAGGATCTCTAGCGGAGACTTGAAGAGATTGAGGTTAAGAGTATACACTTTGGAGGTATAGAATATAAGGTAGAAAGCTTCTAGGAGCTATGCCCTGATACTATATGCCCCCGGCTGCTGCAGGATTAGGTATAGAACCTGCAGAACCTGCGGCGGCCGCTCACTAAAGTGCTTCAACTGCGCTGCCCCCGCAAGGGCCTAAACCATGCATGTTCGGTCCTCGGCTGCTTAGGTAAAGCAGGCAAGGCATGTCAGTATGCCCCAACCACATGTGGAAACTGTGTAGGCAGATACCCTGCATTAGCTGCTAGTTGTCTAAGCAAACGGGCAGCCCGAAAACACTAAAATATATCCTATGTTTAATTCTCGGTCATATTGGAAGTGAGATTAGATGATAACTGTTTATATCCATATAGTTAAGATTATCCTCAATCCGTTTGATCATTCATAACTATTGCCAAGGGATTGTTAAGCTTGGAACCCCCCTGAAGGTTATTGGTTGTGGCCGGCTTCATAATAAAGGCAAGTCTCACATGAGGCTCAAGCACCAAGCAATAAGCTGAGCCTTCAAAATGGAACATACCAAGTTGATCTCCCTTATCTATATGCTGGCCTATTTCAACAGTAACCTGGCAGCTTGATATCTCAACCATCCCAATAGCAATATAGCAATACAGCAAATGAGTCCAATGTCGGGGTTGTCCGCTTCGATGATTGCAAAGCTCGCGTAGCCACCGAGGCTAAATAAAATTTGGCAAGATTCGGAACAGACGGGTCTGGTCGAGAATAGAGCTGAGATCGGATATTTGAAAAGTATGTCCCTGTTATGTTTACGGCCTTGGTTATCACTCCTAAGATAGGAGCATGCTAGCGGTGGTAACATGCTGAGCTGAGCCAACCTTGGTAAACTGTACCGTTGAAAAACCTACAACTGTATGAATCGAAATTCAACATATCAAGGATGGAATACGGTTGAGTTTTGAGCCAAAAAGTATCACGATCATTGACCATCGTTTTGTATCCTCTGGGGTCCATATTCGTAGACATTGACGATAAGTTTGTATTTGTCTCGGTCTTGTTCCCTAATGTCGCGGACACCCTTGCAAAATGCAGGGTAAAGAAGTCTTCCCAATTCTAAAACCCCATGTCGGTGAGTTTGGATCATTGTTATAGAGTTTTTCAATAGGCTTATCCTGCGGCCACGGTCCATATTCCTTCATCCTTCGTATAAATTATTCACCGAACCAGCTCTCATCTGCATGTTTGCTTTGCAGATACTCTACGGAATCAGAGGTTCAGAGAAATGCGTCCCATTTATTGATGATGTTCTTCAAATATATGTTGACACCCTTGTTCAAGAGGGAAGCGTGTTTTACTAGTTTAATTCCAAGTTCAAATATACATAGGAGTATTGTTTAATTTTTTCACCAGCTCGTAGGGGCGGCCCTAATAGATTGACGGCCGGACAGCTATTCAGGGTCTTCGGATGAGACCGTCTCTCCAATCGTGTTTGAGCTTCCTGGCTGGGTAACGATCAGAGAAATTTTATCAGAGGCCCAGGCCACATTACCTGAGATGTAGCCAGTCAGAAGGCTGTTGGGCTTATAACACATCACGTCACATCCGTGGATGCAACGCTGTATTGTAAATGGCATCGATGGATCGGTATTTGTCGTCCCATCTTCTATTGTCTATCACTCACTCCTCCACAATTTCTGCCTCTCCTGTGAGAGGATCCGAAAACATCCACCACTCACTACAAGGACCCAATCCCTGAAGGTATCTGCGTCTTTACCACCCTTGACGAAGCTGCTAAAATCGAAAAGGCGAGCCCGTCTGCGATTTCCTATCCCGAGAATAACGGCTACTACGCGAAGGATCCTGATGGGGCCGTCATCGCCGTGGCATCGGACGAAGTGTGTGAGGTGATTGACTGCAGAGACGCTGAGTTGGAGGCGAAGATTGCCGCGGGCGAGAAGCTGACGGATGAGTGTGCGGTGCGGATGAGGGACAAACAAACATCAATCATCCGGAGATAGATTTTGGAAACCTTAGGAATGGGGATTATGTCCATGCTTATGGATCTGTGGGATGTAACCGGACGTGGTGTGATGAGGTGAAAAGTAGATCTGAAGCAATTAATTATCTGTATCAACTTATAGCAGAGAGAATTATAACCTCGGAGCTTTACGAGAATCTCTCGACCGAGAAAGGCGTGTCGGAAAATGATGTACCTAAGGTCTATGAAACGGGCTGCGGATGATCCAATCCGATCTGCGTGTACCCTGGTGTTCCAGGCAAGTGCCAGCATTACATTACACTGGTTACTATATTTGCTCCCATGGCCATCGTTGTATCTAGTCGGCAACAAATAGAGCAGTTTTCTGCTACACTATTTATTATGGCTCTCGCTTTGGGTTTCAACAACTCAAATCTACATTTAGGCAGCTCTTTTGTGAAGAATCAACTGCCCTCCCATATTAACTGAAATAGTACGACAAAATTGCAGCCACCCATTAAGACTGTGCTGGAGTATAAGTACTGAAAGGGTGTAGATTTGGAGGCGGACGACCTGGGTGGTAAGAGAGGGGGCGCAGGGTCTGTTGCCTACCTCCGAGGACGCGGGCGCCTGGCCAGGTAGGTGCTGAGACCGCGGTCGTGCGATCAATATGGCCCAACGCCCGCGCCACAGCAAATGTAAAACCCCTCTAGTCATCTACTTACACTACTGTGCCCTAATTGGTCGACCAACCATCCCTTACTATCGAAAAGCTCTCTAGGTATAGAACAAACTGAAATCTCAATTATTAGGACCCCTGAAATATATATTCTTTGAGGTTTCTCATGATCTAAACTTTTAAAGATATTTTACTGCCTTGAATTCAAAGTGTCTTTTAGATGTTAAGATCATAAACAATCAAACATTTATATTAGTATCTCAGATTGATTTTACCAGATGACTCGTGCGGTAGAGACCTACTCCTATTCTACAGATGAGAGTGAAGAGAGGGTATGTATGGGATGCTAGAGAGTTAGTAGGCATTTAGCTAACCTAGAAGGGGTTAGCGCCGGCATGGGAAGAATATGTCTGGTCTGACCATTTGGGCTCTGCGGGTTGCGGCCCGAACCATGCCATTGTCAAGAGGAAAAAGGGAACGAGAAGAATACTGTAGGGTGCGATATGTCACCTTTTTATTTTCCTTTTCTTCTTTTTTCTAAGAAAAAAAAAAAAAAAAAAAAAAACAAAGAAAAAGAAATGAGTGAAGACAACTAATAACGTCCACTCTTATAAAGTCCTGCGGCTGGAGGACCTTATTGTTAGTAGTGGAAAGGTTCACGGCCGGGTTAGATCAGCTCTCGGGCGTACAAGGCTCCGTCCTGGGATCGCGCAACAGGCTCTCAGGAGTGGCTGAACGGCTTCCGAAATCGATCGGCCTCTTGGAAACGCCGCTCATGAACTTGTGAGTTTGACAAGATAGCTAGGTACTAATGCTGCCTTTTCCTCAAAGCCCCGAAACTTCGCATGTACAGCATCTAGCAGCTCAACAGAACCATTAAACAAGAAACTAAGCAAAAAAGTCAACACCCTGACGGCCATAGCCATTCCATGTCTAATTTGAGGGGAAACATAGTAAATATAACCCTAATGTGATTCTGACTGTTTACCTTTGTTGTAATCTCAGGGGAAAGAAGGGCAGAATGAGGCTGTATCAGCTACACGTACGTAGCTTACTAAGGATCAGATGCCATTTCGATAGATACTCAATTCTATGGGCGACTCTATCGACTATCTCAACCGCTTCTTCTTACAACTAAGGATCAAGCCTTCAGGAGATGGAGTTCGGTGATCGGCCAAGCCACTAGGATCACGTGGTTTCGTATAGATTCATGTTAGTTATTCGGTCAGTCCCGAATAAGAGGTAGGATACGATTCATAAAACGTCTTCAAAGGTACAAGTCTAGAGCCTTTTTGGGCTATTCTTGAAGATATTGAAGATTCTATGATCCTTGACTTGCTTATGTTGATCATGCATACGGGCCTCGTTTTTACCCCTCTTCAGTCACTAGTCACGCATAGCCATTTTATCTGACAATTCATATCAATCTTCCAGCCTGATCCTGATCCTGTTGTGGCTTCCCAAGCTACGTCTTGTCTATCCGCCTGTATAGAGCCTGACCAGCAGCCTGTCTGCGTATCAGCCCTGCTAGCCTGCCTGCCTCAGCCCCACCTTAACACTAATATTTATTACTATAAGAAAGGATATTAGGCCTTTATAGCTCTCTAGTTTTTAAATTGACGGTATTCTAGGACTATTTCTCTTTATCTAGATGTCATAGACATAGCGGGGTTAGCTAAACCACTAAGCTAAAAGGACCAAAATATCGAACCTCTTGTTCGATACGCCTAACCACCAACTAGTTATATATGATATTATCGTGACACTAGATAGTAGCACTCCATGTTAATTGCGGTTTAGGGAATCGTAGGTAGTAGGGAATATCATGTAACAGCACCGCACATGGCAGGAGCAGGAGACAAGTCTTCCATTGAACGATGTACTACCATATACAGCGGTTGATCACTGTTGTGATCTCAGGGGAAAGATGGGCAGAACGATGCTATATCAGCTACACGTACGTAGCCTACTGAGGACCGGATGCCATTCGGATAGGTCTCAATTCTATGGACGACTATATCAACTATCTTAAGCGCTTCCTCTCTTCTCTCTCCTCATGGGTAAAGCCTTCAGGGGTTTGGAGCCGGTGATCCGGCCAAGCCACTAGGATCACGTGGTCTCGTATAGATTCATAACAATCACTGATTCCTGAAGTCATTGGGGTACGCTGAGGATTTTACGCCGCGGGTAGCACGTGACCTCGCATGCTACTATATCAACCGCAGGCGTTGTAGGTGCGCCTAACATCTTCATTCGATGATTGCGAGCCTTGGGATTTAGTGGTAGATCACTAGGAAATATAGAATCTTATACTCCTAATCTCACCTGCCAAGTGATCAAGCTCCAAGGCCCGTATTTCAATATCATTAACCACAGCTTAAGAAGACAATAGAGGAGTAATAAAAAATAGACAATAAAAGTAAAAGTTAATTGGGACATACGGGTTAGAAACAACAGACTATCACTGAACAGCGAGACTGCTCCCATTTCCGATCTTCTGGGTGAAAGACTGAGGATAACCCCAACTCAAACGGCCAAAAGCACATCACATTGGCAGCAAGTACTCTCATTCACGCTGAATATGCCTTCAATGTAGCATCAAAGGCATTATTGATCTCATCCACGCTCGGAGCGACCCTTGCAAAATGCTCATCGGAGAGCTTTCCTTTCATAACGGTTTCAAAGTCATCTTTCTCCCGCTTGAGGTTGCCCAGCATTCCACGAGCAACGTATCCAACTCCAGCTTCCTTGAACTGCGGGGCCTATGGAAAACCAATTGTAAGTAGCTGGGGAACAGTACGCCATGGAATGAGAATCGATTCATACCTTCTCCTGAGCAACCCGCATGGTATCCAGCAGAACGGGATACATCTCATTGTAGGTGTCAACAAGCTCCTCCCCCTCTGGGGAGGTAAAAGGGTCGGACTTTTCTGCCTCCTTTCTCACAATCTCGGAACTTGAGTGCGCCGCGTACAGCGATCTAGCAACAGGCAAAGTGCCTACAAATCCTCCGTTATAGTTTTCAAGGGAACTCTTCGCGGCATGGACTTGGTCTTTCAAGGTCTGAAGAGACGCTTTGGTATTTGCAACATTGGAAGCCCCGAGGACAAGGGTCGCTCCAAACGATGCGATGACGGCAAGGGAAGAAGCCTTGAAGAACAACATAGCGAACGATATATTTTTTCGATTGAGTTCGGGAAGAGAATGGTTTGTATGGGCGCGATAAGGAAACGAGGATTCCTAAAGTTCATTTCAACACACGACGAGCACTATTTATCACATTTCATTGAGGGTACCAGCAATGTGACCATAATCCCCGAAGCCTGCCGTTATTCCCATAATGGCTGTCCAATTCTCTATTAACGGCAGCATTCCCCTTATTCGGTAGAGTGGATTACATTCTTCAGCGAGGCGAACATATCTCTTACTTGGTAGAGCGGGTTACATTCTTCAAATTCTTCAATCAGGCGAGCATTTTTCTTACTTTGTTGAGAGCATTACATTCCTCATAATGGGAGATTCGACCATAAAACCTCTGCAATTGGCCGACAAGCGCTTGTTCTCTATGCGTCAGTCAGTCAATTTTGGTATGCAGGGATCAACTAGAAGAAAGATACCTGGCTATTGCATACCAATCTTTCATCAGTACCAGCGGTGGACAGGATATTTTGGTCATGGGAAAGCCACTCCACTCCACCACAAGCGTTCGACTTCTCAGGAGCGTGCCTAGAAGCACTTTACGTTGGACTAAAGAGTCTCTCAGATTCTCCCCAATATACGTCACTTTGTATTATAGAATTCCGGTTGGTTCAGATATTGCCATTTATAGAAAAAATTGCTATTCTTCTCTATCGGCCGTAGTAATTAGTAAAGCTTCGTAAGTACACCGCTACTATGCTGGGTATTCACAAGCTAAGGTAGCCGTTATACTCAATACTTAATAGGCTATGCACTTTGCCCTCTATATATATTTCTATTTGCCTTCAAGGTCACCGAGACAAGGGTCAATGATAGATTGCAAGGCAGCCAGTTGATACTTTTTACCCATGAAATCATGCCCGCCCCAACACAGGCGAAACAAAGAAAAGGCGAAAAATACCATTTACGAGTGTTATCTTTATAATTTCCAGTAATAAAATAGAGCGTACCTAATCAAAGTTAGAAACAAATGGCCTATGAATCATATCGTAGACCCGAAATATATGGTAGAGAGCCTATGCAAGTTTACTAAAATAGCTTTCAAGAGAGGCCCAAAAGCTCCAAGGGCGAATCAGGCGAATTATCTCAGCACATGGATGAAAATCGATGCCCCGCATGATGAGAGGAAAAGTAAGAAACGTCCACAAAAACCCAAGAGTGAAGTTAATCGTGACCCCAACCGGCCTGGTGATACTGTTGTGATGGTGGTAGCTTGCAATCACCCTGTCAATTCCGTGTTGTAATAGAAAACAACAGGGTTGTATAGCAAATACAAAAACAGTGAGCGCGGCCATTCTTCCATGCCCGGCCCAGGCCCAGCATGCTACTCCATGGATGACGCCCGAAATGAGAAATGAGACGCATATAGTGAAATGGTCGAGAGCGCCGTTAGGGTCGATCTTCCTCACAATAGATTGGGAAATGGAGAGTAGACCTCGTTTCAAAAGGTTGTGCCAGTCCGCACCGGTCATAGCTGCTTTGTATTAGTAGTCACCCACCGACGATTAGGGGATGTTTACATTAATACGTACCACTGACTTTGAACACTCGGAGACCCTGACCAGAACCGAAGAGCGGAGGAAACATCCATAGATCCAAACCAAATAAGTAGACCATAATCAAAGTTGCACTCGTATACAGCATTGTCAATCCAGCATAGACGTAGAGTAGAAGCCAACCGGCATTCAGCGCTGCGATATTGCCCCAAATAATCGGCTCTAGCAGCATATTGCCATAACAATCGTGGCTATAACCTGCAGTAGACATGCGTCTTTCCAGCCATGTAGATCCCTTCGTCCCAATATACTCAAAAGTGTCAAGAAGAAAGTATCCTCGGGCTAACACCTTGATTGCATCACAAAGAAACTGCTCCTGGTTTGAATATGGCCAGAACCGCAAGGCACCAGGCCTAACTGTCACCGCAGCTCCATAGCCCTTTACTAGATTTCGCAAAGCCGGGGGAAGCTGGTTGAGTTGCAAGGAATCATACCATTCAATACCGCGCCAATTTGTGGAGAGGTCGAATGCCCAAAGTACTGTTTGCAATGAAAATTGTTTCGGTGAATGTTGCCAATAGTACAAATCTTGCAGCCCTTGACGCTTCCTGCGAATCACTTTCAAAGCTCTCAGCTCACGTACAAGTAGAAGGTCATATGCAAGACCAATCTGACAAGCCGTATAAAATGCATCGATGTACCTTAGTGCGTGCTGTGTGAAAGGGATATATGTGATATGGAGGATACCAATTGAAGCTATCATTGCCCAGCATACAATCCGTACCCTTGCGGATAGATAGAGGATTTGGCACAATAAGACACATATCACAATCGATAAAGGAACGATGGCTGGCGACAGCCATCGTATCATTGGAGCCAGGAGCATCATACTTGCATGATAGCTCAGGTCCAGCGCTCCGAACAGATGAGTTACCCACGCTGTCCGAAGATTAAATTAGGCAAGCAAACGTAGAAAAAACTTTGTCCGTCAACAACAGCGAGTTGTCAATTCCTGTCAGAGTTTCTTTACATGCCGGGACCCTCGTTAATTAAATTAGAGTTGATGCCCTGCTTTGTATTGTTTTTGTGGATATCCTGGCCTGCTCGCGTTGAAGTGGCTCGAAAAAATGTGGAAATCTTCTGTGCCAGACTTCATTCATTGGGGTTTTTTTTTTTTTTTGCATATCTTATTTTGTTAGGAGAAAATGAGCAAAGTTTCGGCCTAGGGAATTCTACAGTATCCAGAGTTACGCTTTCTTCCAGAGTTATGAACGAATCCGGAGGTCCTAGCCATTGTTTCCCTAATCGTCATCTTATGCAGGTATTTTTCTAGGCCTCTTGCATGTTGTCAAGTTCTATGCCCTTGAGAGAAAAATAGTTGAATAATCTAGTAGGCTTTGTTGTCTCCTGACGTATCCGAGACATTCTTTCCGAGATCTACCACCATCGAGCGCGACAGACATTAGTTAGAGCGCGGCAAAGGGAGTGACTATTCCACTAAGAGATGTTCAGCCCACCTTGCCCTGTAAGAGAGCCAACCACAGGCAAGTAGGGCGAGATAATTCGGCAAGTCAGGGAAAAAAAAGAACACAGCTATGCAGTATACCAGAAAAACCAGGATCCAGTCTCAGAAATGCATCCCCTTGCAGAAAGTGGACAAGTGTACGATGGCGCAGGTTAAACATGCAAGGTGTAAGGGATGCTGACTCCCTGCATGGCTAGGGTAAATTCGAGGACAAAAAATTCCCTACATGGTGGATGATATTTATGCTAGACATAGGTGTTCGTCGCTTGCACCCTATTACCATTCATTGTCTTCGGGGATACAGCGCTGAGATCGCAATCATCAATCAGTCTTTGAGAATTGATTCCATATTTCTACGAGACTACGAAAGCCGACTTGGCCCAGGGAACGATGCCTCATAGTGGAGAGAACGAAACAAAAGGATTGCCGTCAATGATCTCATATTGTCGGAGTTGCAAGCAAGATGATATGGTAGATAAGTCCAACGAAGGAAGCGACTCGCTCATTGCCATTGTTGGAATGGCTGTACGACTGCCTGGGGAGGTTAACACCACAGACGAGTTCTGGAAGTTCCTAAGCGCCAAAAAGCACGGGTTAGGGGAGGTCCCGGGAACTCGGTACAATGTAGACGCTTTCTTGAATCCTTGTCATCAGGGGTTAAAAACAAAGAATGGTCACTTTCTGGCAGAGGACCCCGGCTCCTTTGATGCGGACTTCTTCTCAATCAGTGACCATGACGCCGCGCTTATGGATCCACAGCAGCGGAAGTTGATGGAGATAACTTGGGAGTGCCTAGAAAGTGCAGGAGAGACAAATTGGAGGGGTAAAGATATTGGGTTCTACGTGGGCGCCTTCAGTGAGGATTGGCTTGATATTACGAGCAAGGACACGCAATCTATTGACCGGTCACATACCATATGCACCGGGAGCTTTGCCTTGTCAAACCGTGTATCTTATGAATATGACTTCCGAGGGCCGAGTATGACTATTATGACTGGTTGTTCAGCTTCTTTGATAGCGCTACACGAAGCATGCCAGGATGTACGCTCCGGTCAGTGTTCATCAGCAATTATAGCTGGTGTCAACATAATCGGGTCACCTACAATGACAATAGCCATGACTTTGGGTCGGGTGCTTTCTGCCAGTGGCTCATGCAAAACCTTCGATGAGCGTGCGGATGGATACGGCCGTGGGGAGGCAGTCAACGCAGTCTACATTAAACGACTCGACGATGCACTACGAAATGGCGACCCTATCAGAGCAGTAATTCGGGGAACTGGTACAAATTCGGACGGAAGGACACAGACCATCAGTACGCCTGGGGTTGCCTCTCAGAAGCAACTGATCCAAAGGACCTATCAAAGCGCAGGCCTAACCTTGAGCGAGACCGGATTCTTTGAGTGCCACGGTACAGGGACTTTGTCTGGAGACATAGCCGAAACTACAGTTGTCGCAGATCTGTGTGGAGGCAAAGGCATGGTGATAGGCTCGGTAAGCTTACACAATGTTTCATATTTGTTCGTGTGGAACGTAAACTATACTGATATGAAAGCAGGTCAAGGGCAATGTCGGACATTCCGAAGGTGCGTCTGGCCTTACCAGCGTTATCAAGGCGGTCTTGGCCCTGGAAAACAGAGTGATTCCCCCGAATGTTTTCTTTGAGCGTCCTAATCCGAGCATACCATTCAAGGAGGGAGGCCTCCACGTACCAACTGAGCCCATGCCATGGCCCGTGGGTAGAAAGGAATTAGCTAGTATCAACTCCTTCGGAATCGGCGGTTCAAACTGCCATGCCATACTGCAATCGGCAGCGTCATACCTAGAAAATCCGCGAGCATCATTAACCCTGAATAACAGCAGCGTCGATGGGGATGCCCTGAGGCTGTTGGTGGTCTCAGCCAAAAGTCAGGAGAGTCTACAAACTCGAATCGCGGAGGCCACAGATTTCGTAAACAATAACCCGGATATCTTGCATGATACCGCCTATACATTGGGCACAAGACGAGAACATCTCCGCTATCGGGCATTTGTCGTTGCTCACAGCCACCAACAAATCGAAAGATCCGAGTGGCGTACTTGCCGAGCCGAAGCGACCGATATAGTTTTTGTTTTTACCGGTCAAGGAGCCCAATGGCCGGGAATGGGAAAAAGCATGCTCGACAACTTCGCCGCCTTCAAGGCTAGTATCCAGATAATGGACAAGGCTCTGCAGGAACTCCCACATCCCCCTTCTTGGAGTTTAGAAGCAGAGCTCGCCAAGACAGGCAACGCCTCTCGTGTTGGGATGGCCGAATTCTCGCAACCACTCTGTACCGCTCTACAAGTCGGCCTTGTCAGTACGTTAGCCAACTGGGGGATTTCTCCGTCAGCCGTCGTTGGCCACTCCAGCGGTGAAATTGCGGCAGCGTTTGCTTCGGGGGCAATGGACATGAAGTCTGCAATTATCATTGCATATTATCGGGGCTTGGCAGCCAAATGCTTGGAAGGCGCAGGGGCTATGGCTGCCGTTGGGCTTTCCATGGAAGAAGTCTCGCGCTATGTCAATGAGAAGGTGGTCATCGCTTGCGAAAACGGACCCCATAACGTGACCTTATCTGGAGAAAGAGAGGACATCCATAGCGTTGTCGAGCAGATTCGCGCAGAATGGCCGGAAGCCCTTTGCCAACCACTCCGCGTAACTGTAGCCTATCATTCTTGTAAGTCCTATTGCGCTCAATCTCCTGGTCTGCCCTTCTCGTTGCTAACGCCGTTCTAGACCAAATGGCTCATATTGGGGCTTTGTACGAACAGCAGATAGCTCCATACATTGATCTGGATCACCGAGCGAATATGATTCCGTTCATTTCTAGTGTGTCGTGCCGAGCTGTTACGAACCCACGGGAGCTGGACGCGGGATATTGGAGACGTAATCTGGAGTCCCCTGTACTTTTTGCGGGAGCGGTTAGATCAATTCTTGAGAAAGACACGGCACAGGTCTTTGTTGAAATAGGGCCACACTCGGCTCTTGCTGGGGTGCTCCGCCAAAGTTCCTTGGCAGTATCTCCAGGCAAAAATGTCCTTTATTTTCCCACGCTCACCCGCAACGACACCGATTCTAGGAACCAGCTTCTCTGGACTGTGGGATGTGCCCATGCCAATGGAATTTCGGTGGATTTGTCCCGAGTCAATGGTATTGGAAAGACCTTGTCCAATCTGCCTAGGTATCCATGGCAGCACAAATATCATTGGAAGGAGAGCAGAGTCGCAAACGAGTGGCGAACTAGCCCTGTAGCGCACCATGAAATCCTCGGTTCACGTGACACGGGCTCATCAGCGATAGAACCATCCTGGAGGAACATGCTGCTACTTGGTGATGTCCCTTGGCTCTGGGACCATGACCTACAAGGCCAGGTTGTGTTCCCTGCTGCCGGATATATTGCAATGGTGGGGGAGGCTGTCCAGCAACTAAACCCTAGTTCCTCGGGCTACAATGTTCGGAACGTACAGCTCAAGGCAGCCCTTGTTCTTAAAGATGACAGATATGCAGAGATCATTACCACCATGCGACGGGTCATGTACAACGATATGATTGATTCTGACTGGTATGCGTTCACTATTGTATCCCATGATGGGACTGGTTGGACCAAGCATTGCCATGGTGAGGTGAAGGCAGCTTACAACCATCTCCAATGGAAGCCTATCGAAGCTCAGCTTCGCCCAGTTGATGCAGAAAAGTGGTATGCCGCCCTGAGTCGCAGTGGGCTGAACTACGGGCCTCGCTTTCGCGGATTAGAAGATATCTCTGTCCATCCCTCAGAATATAGAGCAACGGGAACAGTTGCCGATAATCGAGAACTTCACGGAAGCCGGTACAACATCCATCCAGTGGCCATTGACCAGTGCTTGCAGTTGATGAGCGTAGCATCGTCGAATGGGCTGGCCCGTAGGATTGATCGCATGGCGATACCGCTTTCCATCAAGAGAATCGCGGTCCGGACCGGCAGCGGCATGATGAGGGCTGAAGCGACCATTGTTGCCGGTGGCACTATAACCGACCAATCTGCGAGTGCGTCACTCATGACTGACGATAGCCAAGCTCTGTCATTGGAAGGCGCCGTATTCTTTCATACGGTAGGCGAAGGAAACAATGACTCGTCTTTTCCTCTAGTCTCTGAGATCCGCTGGAACGAAGATATAGACCTGGCTTCAGTGAGTAAAATCCTGGCACAGTCAGATAATTTTCAAAGCCACGAAGAGGCCATACGAGATGCCGAAAAAGTATGTGCACTTGCCATCTTGGAGATCGCAGATCGAATGAAAGGCGTGCAGCCAGGCTCTCAACACCTGATCGAATGGAAAAACTGGATCAGCAATCAGTCCTGCGCTCTAAGAGAAGGAAAAAACGCACTTGTACCCGAAGGAGAACAATATGCGCAAATGTGCTCGGAAGAAAGACAGCAGATGATGGAGGTAGCTATTTCAAAGTGCCAGACACACGGAGGAATGTCTGCTGCCTTCGGATACCTAAAGAAAATCCTGGAGAACTGTGCTGATATAACAATTGACGAAAGCCGAGTTCCAACGGTTATGGAGATGTTCTCAAACGTTTCCGTTGATACAATTGACGCCCCTCCCAAAACCAACTGGGGTCAATTTCTAGGTCTCCTTGGACACTCAAAGCCCACTATGCGTATCTTGGAAATCGGGGCAGAAGGGGCAGCGACAAGAGAAGCCCTGAAGCACCTGCGTACGCCCGAGGGGGTTATGATGTTTTCTGAATATGTCCTCACGGACGTGTCTTCCGATATGATAGATGCCGCATCCAAGCGATTCGAAGACCAAGAGAACTTTAAATACAGACTCCTGGATATCAGCCGTGACCCCAGAAGTCAGGGATATAAACCACATTCTTTCGACCTTATTATTGCATCAAACATCAGTGTAATTACTTCATTTCTATGACACTGTGCATGTGACTGATATAGCGGTAGGCTGTTCATAACTCACCCAGACTCCACGAATCGCTCCAACATATCCGTCAACTGCTTGCCCACACGGGTTGGTTACTACTCCATGAACCCTGTTTAGGTATGCAAATATCCTCCGTATATATTTATAGAGGCACTAATCACTGCACATTCAGGCGACTTGATGAGCAAGTATCTTATGGTAAGTCGTTGCCAGGTCTGTGCTGGAAGATGTTTATTAAAACTGAGTTTAAATACAGGGCGTTCTCCCAGACTGGTGGAACCGCCAGGCGAACAAGCACGATACATGTTGTGTTTCCCCGGAGCAGTTAGAACGTGAACTTTCTGCTGCTGGCTTCACTGGGAATGAAGCATTTGGCTATGAGGACCCCGGACTCTTTCCTTGGAGTTTCACCATGCTCTCTCGTCCAACGGCGGATTGCTCCTCCCCCTTATCTCGGAGTGCCGAAGTCTTTATCCTCAGTTCTGGCCGCCATAATGTTTTCTCCCAAGAAGTTGCTTCATGCTTTCACGAGAGAGGAATTCACGTCACCTGGGGTAGTTTGGCCGACAACCCAGGTCCCAACCATTTCATTATCTCCCTATTGGATTTGGAGGGACCATTTTTATATGATATGTCGGAGGAAGTATATCAGGCCCTGCAAATGTTCACCAGAACAACGAGAAAGAACCACATGCTTTGGGTGACGCCAACCTGTCAGACCAACTGTCCTGATCCCCGCTATGGCCTAGTATTCGGGTTCCTGCGAGCCCTTCGGCAAGAGACTGGACTTGATGTTTCTTTTCTGGAGATGGATTGCTTCGATCTTAACACAGCCCGCTCCGTGTTTACGGTTTATGAAAAGATTGCACAGTCCCGGATTGAAAAGCAGCCGTACCCAGAATATGAATTTCTCTTGACGGAAGGGAAAATCCGTGTTGGGCGTTGCTACTGGGTGCCCCCAGAGAAGCGACCGCACGAAATAATAGAGGAAGCGCATCTACCAACAGTCCTAAGCATCGGCACGCCTGGTCTTATGGACACACTTCAATGGGTCCCAGGAAGTAGCTACGCTCATGTGGGTGAGAATGAAGTAGAAGTCGATATGTGTTATGTCGGCCTGAACTTCCGGGTAAGTCCATTCGAGTGCTTCAGCACCCCAGGCGCCCATTTCAAATCTGCTTTTGGACTAACATCATCTAGGATGTTATGATTTCAATGGGATTCTTTGGGAACCAAGACCAATTTGGTTTTGAAGGTAGCGGAATCGTTCGGTCGGTCGGATCGAATGTTAAAAACTATCAACCAGGCGAGAGGGTGTCTCTCATGGGTGCTGGTAGTTTTCGCACGCGGGTTGTGACTCATGAGAGGAACCTGTTGAAAGTGCCACCAGGGCAATCATTAGAAGATGCAGCAGCATTGCTCGTGGTTTATTCTACAGCGATCTACTCACTCAGTTACATAGGAAAACTAAAAGCAGGGCAGGTAAGCAACAATAATGACGACGGAGAAAAGATATCATACTTCAATATACTGACCATAGTACAGACGGTGCTCATCCATTCCGCCTGTGGAGGTGTTGGCTTGGCCTCGATTCAAATATGTAAAGCTTTGGGAGCCACGGTATGTGATAGTGCATTCATGTATTCTCTGCACATACACATGGTGGGTCATAGGAAACTGACTTGCTGCAGGTCTACGCTACAGTAGGGGATGACAATAAAGTCCAGATGCTAATGAAGCAATTCTCCATTCCTCGCCATCATATCTTTGACTCACGGTCCACGTCGTTCCTACCAGACCTCATGCGAGAAACCAATGGAAGAGGTGTTGATATAGTCCTGAACTCACTCGCTGACGAGTTGCTACATGCGTCATGGGAATGTGTCGCGCCATATGGAACCATGGTAGAGCTTGGCAAGCGCGATTTAGCAACCAACGGCGCCATAAGCCTGACACCATTCCTGAGAAACCGCACATACGTAGGCGTTGACATGGCCGCAGTGAACCTTGAATGTCCGGATAAACAAGCAGAGTGAGTAAATACTCCCCTAACGAATAGTAATGCTAACGGTCGAAGATTTATGGCAGCATACAATCGTTTATACAGGGAGGGAAACATTCGTCCCATTCGCCCTGTCAAAGTGTTCGAGGCCATCGATATCGTGAGTGCGTTCCGCTACATGCAGAGGGGCGTACACACAGGCAAGATCGTTATCAAACTGCCTGAAGATCCCAAGTCTCTGGCGAAAAATGCCTCGCAACCAGGCCCCGTCACCTTCTCCTCTAATGCCTCATACCTCCTAGTTGGTGGTCTCGGGGGCATCGGAAAGGCCATCGCGACATGGATGGTAGAGAGGGGTGCTCGAAATCTGGTCTTCCTAGGTCGTTCTGCGGGAATTTCTGGGACGGACCAGTCCTATATAAGAGAATTAGAGGCCCAGGGGTGTAATGCACAGTGTGTTGCTGGCAGCGTCACAATTGCTGCAGATGTGGAACACGCAATTTCTCTTTGCGGTTCGAGACCGCTAGCCGGAGTCTTGCAGATGGCTATGAGCCTAAATGTAGGTGTTGAAATTGTCTGTATCAAGTACTGCAGGCACTGTGCTTACTTTTTCTAGGACCAATTATTTGATGCAATGAACTACGACGAGTGGTCCGCTTGCCTTGCTCCCAAAGTACAAGGTACCTGGAATCTTCACAATGCTGTACGAGATCGTAACCTCGACTTCTTCGTTGCATTTAGTTCTATCTCAGGAACCTGCGGAAATGTTGGCCAATCGAACTATGCTGCCGCAAATACGTTCCTAGATTGCTTCACCCAATACCGGAGGTACCTTGGGTTACCATCGTCCGTCTTAAACCTAGGCGCTGTGGAGGACATTGGGGTCATCAGTAAAGACACTAAGCTTCTCCAAACCGCACGTGCGGTATTCCAGCGCCTTCTAAGGGAAAGAGAAGTATTGGAAGCATTGGAGCTCTGCATCCGCCAGTCGGCTGTTAGGACCTCTCCCGCACCATGGCTTATTTCGAGTCCGTGCATTGTCGGGCTAAATACCACAAACCATAGCACAAACCAAGCCGTGAACGCTCCCTGGAAGGGTGAGGGCCGATTCGGTTTGTACTCCAACCTGGAGAAGGGTGGTAAAGTTGGAGGACTGATCGACGCGCGAGATGAAGCCTATAGTATCGTTCAGAAGCTTCAAAAGCGTATCACCACCTTGGATGATGAGGAGGCCGAAATGCTGCTACTCAAATCGCTCAACAGTCTAATCACACAGTATATTGCAGGGGCTAAGGAGATGAGCTATGAAGACAAGGGGAATATCGTGATTGACTCGCTCATGGCAGCTGAAGTCGGAAACTGGGCGCGGCGAAACATGAGAATAGATCTTAGTATTCTCGAAATCTCAAAAGCGGGTACCGTGAAAGGGGTTTGTGGGCTTCTAATTGAGCGAATGAGGAGGCTTGCAACAGGGTCCCGCAACGATACGTCTGCTGCTAGCAGCTAGAGCCTATGATAGTCTCACATCCTGTCCTACATGTATATCCTACCCGGAAGGAGGATCTTGGTCGTACGCTATTGTTGTATCAACCAAAAATTACCACTAAAGCTCCGCTATCAGCCACCAGCCTACTCCATTTAGATTAGCGCCCTTAATCATTATCTCCACCATGATACCGCTATATTGCCATGATATTGCGTGTGTCGCGTCTTTTGTATGATCATTTTAGGCCTATAAATATGCTCATGCTACCATCAGATCAGAAGTCAGACCTCATCATATCATGATTCCTTGCCTTAGGATTTAGCGGTAGATTACTAGGTAATACGGATTCCTGCATTCCTCTTACGAGGTTAAATATGGGTCCTTGAGCAACGGTACATGTCATGCTGCTATCTGTACTTGTACACTAGTAACGCTTTGTTCCACGCTAAGTCTTGTGTGAACGGTCACGTAATATTGCACTATTCCGATCGTTACTAGTGAACGAATACGAATTTCGGCACATACAGCATTTGTCGAGGATCCATGTTTAATATTGGAAATGCGGGATTCCGTATTTACCTAGTAATCTACCCCTGAATTATAATGAGTGCAAATGACCAATTGATGAGGTCTGATTCCTGATCTAGTGGTAAAATGAGCGATATATATAGGCTTTAAGATGATCACTAAATCATGCAGTATCATGATGATACAGGATGATACAGGATGATGATCATGGCCTAGAGTAGTAATCGAGGCGCTCTTCCAAATGGAGTAGGGTAGTGGCTGATAGTGGAGCTTTAGTGGTAATTTCGGTCGACATTTAATTTGTTACATATGAAACTGGCGGCTGCAGAAAAGCTCATTTTTCGAAAATCGTGTCGTCAAAGAGCCTAGCCCGAATACTACTACCAGGTATACTATATATATATCGGGGAATGTGAGGGTTTACACCCCTAGACTGACGTTTAGGCTGTGGAACAGGGAACCTTCCTCTACTAAAGAGAAAACTTCGACTACGAATACCGATTTCTTGAGCAAGCCCAACAAGCGTGCAGTTAGAAAGAAGTTAACAGGGTGCAGCTAATAGATCCAGAAATTAAAATGAGTTTTACTCTCCCCTTCTTCTCACCCCTGAGATCTGGTCCGTCTGTAATGTCTTCGTCAAAGCACACTGTATAGGGGTTCGAATGTAGTGTAAAAGCTCAGTTCAAGCCACTTCTTACTTTGGGAACCCATTACTACTGGCACTTAAAATAGTGTTGAAGCAATGTACAAACTTGTATTGTGTCACGAACATGCTGGAACGCGACGATAGACGATGGATTCCCCTGTGAGTGATCTTGTTCTTCTGGTTCTATACCTTGTTTTCTATCCTACTTTCTTCCTCGTTTCCTAGTGTGCATACTTCAATATATCCATCAAGAATACCATCTACTATTGAAAGGGGTAACTGAATTAGCAGCGTCCATATTTCTCTACTTCATCAGGAGATTATCGGTAACTTGACACGTGGGAGGACATGTCTTCTTTTTCGAGTACCTTGTAATTTAACAATGGATATCCACGGATAGTAGCTACCTGTAATTGGCCATAACCTTCATGATCCTAGGAAAAATTCTCAAGAAGCCCGGTCCCCTAGTCTTGTACACATTTGTACTCTGTCCTTATTTTGCCTCAACCTGCAATTTCACGTACGGCAAAACTTGTATAGTGCCACTGAGTCCAGTATCAACTAACTCCGGCAAAGGGCTAGAGCTGGCAACGGTGATAAGGGGCGGATATCCTGACATAACAATTTGGTTGAAGATGCTCCTGAGATAATTCCACATGGTGCTCGGCACAATGGCCAGTATCTCATTCCGGCCAGGTTTAAGGTACGTGCTAATGTCGACCTTCGGTGCATTGTAGTCAAAGGGCGGTATTTGTTGACCATTAACTTGCAGACGAAGGGTATGCAGGACTCTTGGGAGCAGGATATATGCACCGTCAGCCAATCCCGTGTGAGGTGGCCATTCGAAGATACTGCTATAATAACCGACTCCGGAGGAATTTACAAGACCCTGGATATCCGTCCAAGGCACGAGTGATGACAATTGGTGCGTCGTATTATACTTTAATGCGATTGGTGAAGCATCAGAGATATTGGACGGGGCGACCCAGTGTTCTGCCGTCAGCGACCAATTGGCGAGGTTAAAACCGGGTGCTGGTGCTAGGCCCGGTAAAGCGCTATAGTTCTTGCCAATAGACAGAGCAAGGGGCTTGTCGAATGATCCAGCAGCGACATGAAGCTCAATTTTGTCCAGAGAAATAGTGCTGTACTTGTACCCTAGGACTGTAGAAGGGGCCTGAATGGCGTGGACAGAAGGGTTGCGCGATCCCGGAGTATCCTCTCCACTGAATCCGATAAGAACCGTTTGATTGGGCTCTAAACTCAGAGGAATCAAAGTCTTGCCTTGGGTGTGCTGATAAGTCAGGAGAGGTCGGGAATGCCCGTTCCACATATCGAAGACGAACGGCGTCCTGTTGCTGGCTACTTCAATGTGGCCGGTACTGGCGTTTCCATCATTCAAGATGAATGCAAATTGTATGTTCTCCTTTACAGAGTCGCGCCAAGTGGTGTACCATGTGCCATTGGATTGTACCCGGATTTGAGGCTCTAGACGGAGAGAGACTAGAGTATCAACAAGCTGGCCATTAGAGACGCTGTACACGTTCCTCGTTCTTTTCAATAAAGAAATAGCCCGCGTGAAGTTTCGCTTGTCTCCTGCATTGCCAGCTGTATAGTAAGCTGGATCTCCTCCACTCAAAATGACTGGTAAACCCGCCTCTGCAAATTTCCGAACCTTGTCGATTGAGCTCACGGTAACATTCACCGTGCTGTAAATAACTAAGGCCTTGTAGGCAGGGCCATCTGGGGCAAGGGTACCGTTTCGGATATACGCTTGGGGCAAGTCGAAATTTTCGGGCGAAAGATAACTATAGCTGTAGCCTTCCAAGAATTAGCACCATTGAGTCTTGTGTAGCTTCTGAAACCTTCAAATTATACGAACCAACTTTGTTTAATTCACTCATATCCGCTGGACGAGATTCGGAGGTAAAGTCTGTGGCAGACTGCTTATCATAAATAGCAATATCTGTCCTAAGGGGTCCTGCTTGCTGACTGTATTGAAGTCTCCCCACATATCCTAGGGCATCTGAGAAACCGTGGTCCCATGCTGGCTGTTTATTGGACCACAATTCGGAATAAAAGTACGAGAATGCAGTATAACCTGGCCAAGTTGTGGACCAGTAATTGCCGGTATACGACTGGCCGTGAATCACAAACTGATTAACGCCTCCCACAACTGCGCGATTAATAGACCACAGTAGACTGGAGACCTGGTACTGGAAGGCCTTCATAGATACTGCGCCCATCTCATTAGAGATGATTCTTTTACCAGCCAAAACAGCAGGCCCAGTGAATTGCCTATAGCCGTCAATGTTGTCCATAAACCCAAGGCTCTCACACTCAGGTGCATTCACGAACGGAATATTGACCCTCATGTCCATAGGAAGGTTATAGGACACCTGTGCTGACATTTGTAAATTCAAGAATGAATTTACCCATGTCGTCAGAGCTTCGAGATACTGTCTGTAGCCTTCCACTAGTGCACCGCGATAATCATGGACATAACCAGTGCCTTGGTCAGGTGTGTCCAAGACGCACTGGATGGCCCCAGGCGCGGATGCTTGAATTGCAATATTATTGTTCCCGAACATGATCAAAGGCAGGTATTTGATGAGACTATATCCGTACTTCTGCTTGAAAACATGCGGCAGCGAGCGTGTCCACGAGATGTTCGACGTAATTTCCACGCTGTCTTCCCACGCTGTACAAGAATATTAGTATGGATCCAGTAAGACAGGCTGTCCATTCCTACCATAGTTACCCACTTGGGTCAGAAGGGACTTCACGTCTTCGTTCAAGATAAACTTTTCCCAGAACTTGATCACAGTCTCCGCACCTCGAGCGCTGAAGTGGTCGACAATGTAGGATCCGTGGTCGAAGATTGTCTTCGATCCGTTCACCTGAGATTCCAGATTGTGAGCATGAGTTAAGCGTTCGTAGAACGCAAATAATCGATAGCGAGGCCCCTGGGTGGTGCTAGCAGGAAAGGTAAGAGACAAGTGGCCACTCGGAGCCACCTGAGAGGTCCAATCCGTAAGTGATCCTTCCTTGAGAAGGAGCCGAGAATATGAGGCAATGCGAGTGCCGGACGGAGATGTAGAATTCTTGATTTTCTCTGAAGAGATCACCTCTGCTGAGACCAGTGCAACAAGGTCCCCACTGCCCCAGTCAGGGAGGATCCCATCAAAGGATCCATTGGCAGGAACGGCAACCGAAGAAGGCACCTAGTTTCATACGTAAGGTGTCAATCATCTGTGTCGACAAACGTGCCATACAGGGCCAGTTATCAACATACCAAATCCCACTGGAGGCCTTCGTCATCTGGTTCAGCTGGCACGCCTTGCCCTTGGTTAGGTCCAATGGCGAAGTCCATCACCAAGCCAGCATCCCGGTGGGCTTCTAAAGCAGCGTAGAATATTCTATTAAATGCGGGTGTGCCAAAACCATATTTGGACCAGTCGTCCCCTGGGGGAGCCCCCCCAAGTACACCGCCTGCGTTGTACCAGGGAAGGAATTCCACACCTCCCGCTCCAATAGCAGCGGCAGATTTTATGTCGTCTCTTACGACGAGCTCATCGACACTGGGATCAGGAAGCCAGTACCGAAACCGAGGTCGTATAAGTGCTGATGGATTTTCAAACGTTCCGGCATCAATATCGGCAGAAAACTGGTCGTTGATACTAGCTAGTACCAAATGTATTGCGCAGTTTAGGACAAACACTGCCCGTGGAAAATGTTGGAGCATGAACATCAGGCCGTTGCGTATGACCAGCAGAGCCTATCCCTAGTTCTCGCAATATTCAAGGATACTCTACTGCATACCAGGGGTGGTTCCCTCGTGCGTTAAGTAGGAGGTTCAGCCTTGCTAGACACTACCACATCTGGTGAACATGAAGTCGATCCATTGGAAACGCGCGTGGAACGTACTTGACATCACGGTAGGTTTCGTATTCGTATTGCTGGTAACCTTTCCTCTAAAATAGCCAAGTAAAGTAAAGGATTTGCGTCATACGGAGGAGAGCTTAGTGGTAGCGTTCATTTTGGTCCACCAGATAAGTTAGAAAAGACGCGGAACCAGAGGGGAGCCAGATAGCGTGGCACGCCGTTTGGTTTGGTTGCCAGTGGGCATCAATACGGGTCCGTACCGTTTTAGTCGAGCGATGGAAAGATAGCCAGAATCAGGCATAACGTACACCACCGCCGAATGATCCACCCACGCGTTTTGGCCGTGGTCAAAAATCTTGCTCAATTCAACCACCCATCATACCTCCAAAAGCGTGCCAAAATCCAATTAGTTCAATTGAGAAGGAGGGAATGGTTCTACTTGCGATATCATCTTATAAAAAAAAGCAGGTGATAAAGTCAATTCATGAAGCTGCGCGCATTTTTTAATATCTCTCATGCAACTTGCGCTGTCAGCTTAATGAAACTATCTATTGCAGTAAAACGCGCACAAATAGTTATAAAATAACTTAAATAAAGACGACACTCTTGCACAATAGATTCTATTACTAGATCAATATAGAATGCCTCCCCAACCGTCCCATATACAAGAAGTGGCTGATATTTTACTGAGTGCGGTACTACATCTATTCAACCAGTTAGAGAGATCTGGGTATATAAATTTATTAAACATTAACCTGAAACTAAAACTCGCTATTCTAGGCAATATGGTTATCAGCAAGCTAAACGCGAAGACCCTAAAGCTATTAGAGAGTGGTTTAACCATGTATAAATCACCATTACACAATATGGTATTGCACTGGAAGATACATATAACTTTGATGAAACTGGCTTTACTATATGCCTAGTAGCTGTCATAGAGGTTTAGGCAAACAGACCCTTTGTCTATAAGGGTAACACAACTCAATAACTTCATGTTTTCTTTTCTTTTCCTCTCTTTAGCTTAGTCTCTTCGTGATAGACTATCTAATCAACTACTGATTCAGCCAGAGTCCCTTACAGTAGCCACTGCTTGAGTAGTTACTAGAGATGATTATTATAGAAAGGCCTCTCTTGTATAGCCAGGCAATCAGGAATAGATTACTTCTATTAAGTATATTAACTCTACTAGAAGTATAATTAGACAAGATTACTAAATGGCATAAACTAGCTTTAAACAAAGCAGTTCTTGTATGTGCAGAAATATATACTTTACATGCTTCTAATAAGTATCAGCTTCAAAAGCAGAAGTGCTTCACTAAACAGCTAGCTATTATAGAAGATTTTGCTATTCAGGAAGGCCTAGAGCAATTCCAGCACAAGAATAAGATCTATAAAGTTCAAATCTCTACACCTATAGATCTAGCGCTGTCTACAGTTAAATCGCGCGTACAAGTACCACCGCGCCGCAGTTTCTAGGACATAAGCAACTGCAATGTCCTAATCAGGTTTCTAGTTAGATTTTATACAGAAATACAATTTTTCTTGTTGATAAAGACCCTAATCTCACCCGGTAGTGAAAATCGGAGCGGAAGTGGATCACTCGGTGGTGGTTGTACGTTAACTTATAATTAACTTTGAAGATGTGTCCTTGATAAAAGGGCACCCCGCAAATAATTCGAGCACGGCACATATCAGGAGAAAGCACCGCAGATATTCAGTGAATACTTTGTCTCTTGTCCAAGTGTATTAATTGCTTTTGTTGTCTTTTACCCTTTTCTTCGGATCTGATGTCTTCTAATGGTGAGTCCTTAGTACCTTGCAACAATGCCTGACCTATATTTAGGCTACTGAAAGCTTTGATTCCGCACTTCTTGAATAGTGGGATTGTAAAATATATAAAGGAAGCATCTTAATACCAACCAAGTGTCAAATATTACTAATGCCGTGTATCTGGGTACACGGGAAACTCTTCGCCTCTTGTCCCTATTGCTACAACCGCCACTTGAAAATGCTCATGCCACTATCATCTCCACGTACCTGGATGCAGTCATGGAAATGGTCAATCAATGTGATGGCAAGGATAAAACGCCAAACTTGAATCTGCTTATGGAATATCTAGCTGATATTGACCTTCTTACTCTATGCAACCACAGAACAGTGATAGCTAAAATTCTGGGATGCACGAACAATTATACTCGACAGCAGAAGACGGCCGAGACCACTTATCTTGGGTAAGTCCAAAACAGAGTCAGTACCCTTTCCCTTGTATTGTTTCCCTCGGCAGCACCGATTTTAGGCCCGAGTAATCTTCGCATGTTTCGTCTTCTTTTGATATTTGTGTAGATTGCTTTCGGCCACGAGGCGTACAGAAATTGGAACTATTCCTCTGCAATCATTCAGTTGTACTTAGGATTCTATATATAATTTATTGCATAAGTTATGACCTGTTCAAGTTTACCTGACGCCTTCCCATTCGGGCTACAGTACTGGGAAACCTAATCAATATTGTAATAAGGAGAAAACCCGCACCGAGGCTAAATGCATGAAACCAAACGTCCATAGCATTAAGATATTCGATTTCTTCCCCAATGACTCAGTTAAACTTGAGAACCTCGTTTCACTGCCAAAACCTAAGCCCTGCAAGCCCCAAAGTGAGAGAATAGAGTATACTTACAGGCCCAACGTCATCAACATAGTCACTTTTACTGTCACCGCCATCATAGCACTGATATCTAGCCATTCTTTCAAAACCAAGTTCGTCCGTGGTTCCCTTCCGACAGTAGAGGAGAGCGTTGTTGATGTGCCAATCGTCTAGTGGATATCCCTCCCTATCCAAAACTTCCTTTATCTGATCCCTATAGTTTCCTGGATATTTGTAAGACAGGTATAACAGATAGGAGAGTGATACTAGATAGTACATTTGTGATAAAAGAAAACTTCAACTATCTCATGTACATACCGACACTCAGAAGCGTTTTTCCACAATAGTAACGATGGGCAGTGCAGTAGGCCTTAGGATGATATTCACCCCAGTTATAGTATCTCGCTGTAACTGAGGAAGCTAGCACAGCAAGCAGACCAAAAGAGACTGGCAGCTTCATTTTCCTGATAAGAGAGGAAATTGGCCTTTGAATTTCGAAATTTGCGAGCTTTGTTGGATGATTGGAAAAATGTTGGGGACAGAATATGTGGAAAAGGTTTATAGGGAAGGAGGCAGTTTTGTGTAGAAGTTGAGAGAGCACTCTGGTATCGTGGGTGGAAGAACGTTGACGGAATGTTTGGGAAACATTGTAGGGCGTGGAGGAGTGGTCTAATGGGTGATGAGAGATGTGGGGATGCAAGGCAGGTTTCAACGGTGTTTTACGCGGAGGCAGGATTATGGAAGGGGTTGTTGGAGTATATACGAGGGCTTTTGAAGGAGTATGGATTACGAGAGATTGAGGGGCAATATAAGGCTGAGAAAGACAATGAAGACATTACAGTGCTAGTGGCGGTGTGTGATGTCAGTGAAGGAGATGAGGGAGGTTTGGATATTATGTTCACACTGTGGCCTGAAAGGGGTTTATGGTAGGGATGGTTCTTTGATTCAGTGGATAGATGTCGTGAGCCGGTGCTTGGAACTGGGAATCATTTCGTTAGTCTATGGCCGGTTTATAGGGCTAGGGCAAAGAAGGTGGAGTATAGATGCTTAGTGGTGGATGAGAAGTGGGTGGGTGAGAGGAACGAGGCGTTACTATGTATAAGGGATGATATATCGGAGATGATTGAGATAGGTGGTAAGGAGGCCGTTAGTGAACCGTATATGGAGATGTTGGCGATTAGGTTTGTGTTTACTGAGGTTGAGGTTGGTTGTTGGGTGGGTGATGACGGAGAACAGGTTGGAGGGTCCGGGAAGGGAATAAGTGAGGATTTGTTGTGTGTTTGTTTCGATTTTAATAGGTATATTGGTCCAAGGGCGGTGCATTATGCTTGAGGTTGTTGAAAATATATATATTTACGTTTGGTGGCAGAATTTCTCGAGGGTAGTGAAAAGACCTGTAAGTTCTAGTGTATTTGTAGTGGTATAGAGAGCACCTCTGTGTGAAAGTAATGAGCCAAGCAGCAGAAAAGAAAAGGAAAGAGATGTTGAAAGAAAAGTAAGAAGAGCAGAGGGTGAAATGGAGGTGGTTTGGAGAAAAAGTTTTGAGAAGGTGGAGTAGGATGGTATAGGTGTAGTAGTGGAAATTGATGGCTTGGAGATGAGGTAAAAAGGTGATGGGAGGTAGAAGTTTGTAAAGTAGTGATGGCCTGAGGCCTTTTCTTTCATTCCGCAGTCCGTCAGGATGAGGGGCCGTATTCTCTATGATTCCTTAATGAAAGAAAGGCCGAAGGCCGAAACGTCAAAATACTAATAAAATAGGTGAGGAGACAAGTCACCTTTACCCCGCCAAAAGGCCGGTGTACGGATAAGACAGAAAAAGAGCGTGGGGATAAGGCAGAAGGGGAAATTAAGGGCTAGAATGGAGTGCTGTGACTAAGGCGACGGCCATAGTACCACGGACGGCCCAATGGAGGGGTAAATGTCGTTGTGCGGGGCGGAGACTAAGACATAAAGGGACTAGGGGGAATATCTGGGGAAACTGGAAACAAGGTATAAGAATAGAGGCAGCCCCGGAGAAAAAGAGGCAGAAAGGAAGAGGTTTATTAGGTTTGTTAGGAGGAAATGGCCGATGTGATAAGGGTAGCCAACGAGTTGTTTGGGTACGATGGATGGAGTATGGAGGTGAAGGATGTGACAGTTGTTTATTTGGAGCAGGATGGAAGAGTGTGGAGCGGCGGGGTGTCAGTGACAGTACGGGTGAGCCTGAAGGAGGAAGATGTGTTCCGGGAAGTTTGCGGGTTTGGAGAGGGATTGAAGTTGGGATCTCGATTGTTGGCGACGGAGAAGGCGCAGAAAGAGGCGATAACGGACGCATTTAAGAGAGTGATGTGGCAATTTGGGGGAGGGCGTGATTGTGCTAAGTGTAAGAGCGTGGAGGCGCGTTGCGAGGTATGTGAGTTATGTCAAGAGCAAGGGGAAGTATTCCGGCGTTGGGTAGAGTTGCGCTGTGGGCATTTTTTTCATGGAAGTTGTGTACTGGAGAGGATGGGGGTGATTGGTGGTAAGTGAGGTTTTTGGAGGTGGGCGGAAATATATATATCTGCGGTACACAGACGTTGGAGTTTGGAAGGGGCGAGTAGGGAGGATTCACGAAGTATGAGGGAAGGAGTTACGGAGAATTGTGCGATGGGAAGGATGAGGATCGAACGTGGAAGAGGTGGTTTTATCTGTTAATAGTGGCGGAAGAGATGTGTGCTCGAGAATATTGTTTTGAGATGTTGTTTGATGGAGGTATGGGGAAGGAAGGCGGTGAGGAAAGGCAGTATAATAGGATTGGTGGAGTAGCGTAATAAGATCACTTGTTTAGTCGTGATGGACATATATGAATTAGGTGCCAAGTCCACATTTGTGTATACCGGAGCAAAGAGAAAATTATACGAAGTGGAAGAGAAGGATTTAGATGGGAAAGTTGGGTTGGTGTAGAGAGTGTGTAATAAAGAGTGTTTTGTGAGGTGAGAAGTAGGGAGAAATTATGTAGGAAGGAGATTGATATAGAATGGGAGGATAGGGTTGAATGGGAATGGTATATAAGTATGAGATGAAGAATATGACAGACCCGCGTTGACTGGGTAACTGAAAGATAGGGTTGCCTCCATGCACAGCTACGCAGCGAGTGAAGTGAATTTGCCACCAATCCGCAGCATATTTTGATATCTCTCTATAGACACACCTTTATGAATACGATGGAGATGTGATGTGAGTCCTTTACCACGCCACTTCCGTGTCAATCAAGACAAATAACGGGAAGCCATTCCTCCACTCATGTCATCAGCCCCAGATCGAGGCATTACTCCAGGTTACGTTCTGGGATAGTACCTAGATAGTGGAGCAGTTGAATTAAGCTAAAGGAATATCTCCACATCATACTCCCCAGATATCCTTCCCCTGTCTTCATTTAATCTCCGATATACGCCCCCCTAGACACCGCAAATTTTGCTTCTAGCTGCTTATATTCTCTCAGTGTCAGGGTTCCGGACCTTGGAAGTCAATTTCCACATGGCTTTCTTTTTTCGTTTGCTGGGCGCCGACCAGCTAGCGCTTATCGTGTATGGCCAGACATTCAACAATGAAACCACTGGTGAGCTTCAAACCGTACTTAGGAACCTTGAGCGATACTGGTCCTACGACAGATCACCACCAGTTTACCCTAACTGTAAGTTTTGGTTTCTCTTACAGAGAAGAGGAACTTACCTAACCATCTCACAGCCACAGGAAATGGGACAGACGATTGGAATATTGCGTACGAGCAAGCCAGAACTCTTGTTGCTCAAATGACAAACAACGAGAAAAACAACATCACATACAGCTTCCAGTCAACTAGCAATGGCTGCTCAGGAAATTTAGAGGCCGTCCCTCGGCTTGGATTCCCTGGGCTCCATGTTGGTGTAGCCTGGAATCCTGATCTAGCACGCAAACGCGGCCAGTATATGGGAGCAGAATTTAAGCGAAAAAGCATCCATATTGCGGTGGGACCTGTGATGGGACCGTTGGCCCGTGTTGCCCGTGGAGGAGGGAACTGGGAAGGGTTCTCCAGTGACCATTATCTTTGTGGCAAGTTGGCGTATGAGACCATTATTGGCATGCAGGAATTCATTATTGCCAGTGTCAACCATCTGGTTAGTAATGAACAAGAAACAGACCGCAACCCGTCCGTCTACTTAGTAAACATATCCGTATCATCCAATATTAACAATAGAACGATGCACAATCTGTATCTCTGGCCGTTCCAGGATACAGTCAAAGCTGGCGTGGGTCCAGTTATGTGCAGTTACAACCGCGTTAACAATAGCCATGCTTGCCATAATAGCAAGGTTTTAAATGGTCTCCTCAACACTGAACTGGGATTCCAAGGGTACGCCCTCACCGATTGGTATGCGCAGCACACCGGTGTAGCCAGCACAAATGCAGGTCTCGACATGTCCATGCCGTATTCGCCCTATAATCTGATAATTTGAGTCTTGCAGACTCAAATGGATCCATGGCCCAGTTAAGATTGGATGACATGGCTACGCGTATAGTGGCCACCTGGTATAACTTCGCGAAAATTGATAGTCCTGGGGCTAACGTGCCCGTGATCCTTGAGTGAACCGCACGAGATCGTCGATGCTCGTGATCCTGCATCTGAGTCTATCATCTTTTAAGGAGCTGTTGAGGGTCATGTCCTTGTGAAGGTGAAGGCCGCCCTACCTTTGAAGAAGCCAAAGATCCTCTCATTGTCTGGTTATGACGCGACTGCGGCTCTGATCAACTCCCAAACACCGGCCTTTGCTTTCCAGCAAGGATTAGGTATGGGCAATACCTTGGGATACATAGGAGGCAGCCCTTCTCATATGAATTAATGGCTGCTTTAATGGGAAGCTTTCTGACCAATATAACAGGCGGAACTTTGGTAACGGGTGATGGATCAGGTAGCAACACCGCAGCGTATATTGATGCTCTATTTAACACATTTCAATGTCAAGCAAAGCTAGATGGCGTATACCTGTCCTGGGACTTATTCTCCAGGATCCGGGAGTGAATGCAGCCAGTGAAGCGTGCATTGTGTTTGTCAATGAGCAGTTCTCGGAAGGTTGGGACAGGCCACGTCTTGCGGATAGCTATTCTGATCCACTGATTACCAATGTTGCTGCCAAATGCAATAATACAATAGTTATGATTTATAAATGCCGGGGTGCGCCTGTTTGATATATAGATTGAATATCCCAATATAACTGCTGTGATCTATGCTCATGTCCCAGGCCAAGACTCTGGTTCTACCTTGGTTGAGATCATGTATGGGAAATAATCACCTTCAAGTCGTTTTGCCTTATACTGGCGCGAAGGACCCTGGAGACTATGCCACATTACTCAATCCAGTATATCTGGATAACTCCAGTATGTATTATGCCCAGTCGAATCTTACCGAGGGGGGTTACATCAATTACCGTCACTATATTACAAACAATCTCGTGCCGCGGTACAAGTTTGGGTACAGGTTGATCTACTCGACGTTTGATTACCGCGACCTCAGAGTTCAAGTTTTAGATCTGGCATGGAAGTCTTACTTGCCCCCAGGATCAGAATTCTACAATACGACCGAGCCAAAACCTCCAGGGGGCTTGGATTCCCTTTGGGACGAGGTAGCAACCGTCAGCTTCACCGTAACTAATACTGGGGTAGTTGATGCTGCGGAGGTTGCCCAGTTGTACATTCGCATCCCTTGAGCTAGTCCAGGTAGAGTTCTACGGGTGTTCCACAAGCAGACCATTCGGCTGGGAAAAAGCTTAGATTTACATTTCCATCTCACTCGCCGTGACCTAAGTCAATGGGGCGTCGTGACACAACAATGGGTGCTTCGCCAGGGCATATACAAAGCGATGATCGGCAAGACTGTCTTAGATATATATGGCTGGAAGGAAACCTGACTATTAATCATGACGCAAAGATTGATTTCATTTAACTATACTGCCTAACATGCAAAAGCATATGACAGTGCCCTAGGAGGGTGGAACGCCAAAATTCGAGCCCGGTATTCACTCGCTAATATCATATGAAGGTCTTCGTCTAGTATCTATGGTAACCGAGGTCTTGCTGTGTCAATCCTTGCCGGAGTGGGCGAGGCAGTACGTAGCGCAGAACGTACATATCTTCAAATATTAGAATGGGGAGGCGGACGTTGCAGTCTAAGGAGTTAAAGCTCAATGTTGCTGACAATCATCCACGTAGATTACAGGCTGACGCCCTCGTATTCGTACAGTAAACGATCTAGTACCACACGCCCCACCGACTATACGTTGGGACAATACTATTTCAGCGGTTCCACGGCGTTTCAAAACCGAACTCGTGCATGTCCTGTAGGAATTACTGTGGCTTGGAGCATAAGCCTCGCTATATAACTATGGCGAGCTGTATGTCCACTCGGGAATGTGGCATTCATCACTCCCTCAATGTTTACTTCATTTTTTTTTTATTTGGGTTCGATTTGTCTTATCTTTTAGTCGTCATCTGTTTTTTTCCGTTCTCTTTTGCCCTTCTCTAAGCAGGGCTTCCCTTTGAATTCATACAGTCCACTAGAGGTTGTGTCAGGTCTCGAGGTAAAGTGACCATTTTGGGTGCAATCATACTTGGATCCTTTTCGCTCGATATTCTATTATTTCCTCTGGTTCTATTCGACAAGTTGCGACAATGGCCGGGAGCGACGGGCCATCCCTCTATAATTACGACCCAAATGTAGCTGCCAGTATCATCTTCGCACTTGTGTTCGGCGCCAGCGCAGCTCTTCATATTTGGCAAGCATTCATAAGAGCCAGGGCCTGGTTCTTCACTGCCTTCGTCATTGGTTCTGTCAGTATGTGGGCATCGAGACTCTGGGATATCCGATTAGATAGTGGTTGCTAACAAGTAACAATAGTGATGGCCCTGGGATACCTCTGCCGCGCCATCTCTGCCAAAAGTCCCACCAGCCTTGGCCCATACATTGGCCAATCACTCTTGATCCTCCTCCCTCCATCGCTCTATGCGGCGACGATTTATATGGTATATGGACGTATTGTTCAATGCACACGACGACCAGAATTATCCATCATATCCCCGACCAGAGTGACCAAAGTCTTTGTCGTTGGTGATGTTCTAGCTTTCATCTTACAGTGTAGCGGCGGAGGTATGATGGCGATATCCGGCTTGGGTAGCATTGGAGAGAAGCTGCTGGTTTTTGGGCTTTTCGTCCAGCTGTTATTTTTTGGGTTCTTCCTTTTTGTGTCGGTGAAGTTCGCGCTGCGAATTCGCAGGACCCCATCAAAAGTGATGGAAGGTCCCTGGAAAACTCTTCTTTATATCCTTTACGCCATGGCCGCCCTCATCATTTTTCGATGTGTGTATCGAATAGTCGAGTTTGTGCAGGGACATGACGGGTATCTCGTTTCGCATGAGCTGTATATGTATCTGTTCGATACGCTTCCCATGCTCGTTGTGCAACTTCTCTTTCATCGTTGGCAGCCGTACCGAATGCTCAACGCCAGTCAGGCTGCGATGGGAGGGTGTGAAAGCTACGTTAACCTCCAGGGACTGCGTTAGAACCCTGAACAAGCCTCCTTCGATCTCGAGTAATGTCAAGGCGCTTGTGGAGCTGTGCTGTGAACAGATTCAAGTTGCCATATCCCTTCTTTTTACTTTTCCTTTTTTTTTTCATAGCCTTAGGAACTACACGTCGCGAGATTGGTGCAGTTTATGGAAAAATATTGATCGCAGAGTAGCAGAAACCCAGCGGTCTAAGTCGGACGCGATAATTAAAAGGCGATTATGCAGCATGCCATTATTTTGGCCCCTTATCTCTTTCCAGTAAAAATCCGTAGGCGAAGGGGGTTACCTGGTTACCTCCCTACATTGGATGAGCAGGCAATATTTCCCGGGAAGAAAGACTCACTCCACACCACATGCCTGCTCTATCCTAGGTTTCTAGCCAATTCACTCTTCGGATTTAACCCCCAAGGGGAAAGGGTAGAGTGGCAGTGATTCAGCGGTGATTCCACTACCAAGTCTAGTGAATTTCCGGGATCCGATATCGTGTACTAATTTTTGGGCTCTACGAAGTGAATCAAAACCACCAGGATTCGTTTGCGTACGGCAGAAGCCATCGGTACAATACTATGCTCTAGTTTACTTATCTAGCGGTACATGGGGACCCGCTTTGGCATGATATTTGGTATTTGAGCAGTATATGCTACCCCTCTGTTATGTACCTATACACCAGGCTAGCCCTACTTTAGCCGCTGGCCCCAATTCGGGAATGTGACTCTCCCGGAGGACTGCCTCTGGCCATAAATGTGGTCACAAAGGAAAGATTCTGTGTTATGGGCTTTTTCGACGTCCATGATCTTTCTTGCAATTTGATTTCCGATAATCGGCGCCGGAACTTAAAAAACGTTATGGAGACACAACACCCTGTAGAATAAGCTGCCATGGTTTCAGCCATGGGAATCACGTATATACATACTAGACAAGCGCTTATTAAACAGCGGTCAAGGTGGATGTAAAGATAAATTCACTTTGGGCAGCAGTGTCAGGAAAAGAAATCTCATTTGGGGTACATTTTCTTGTGTCTATCGGCACACTAGACTCTACAAATACCATGCGAACGAATAGTCGCGCCGTATTTCCCTAGTATGCGGTGTCTAATCGCCTTCTCTCGCGCACTCCTCCTTACTCCCTCAGTCCTTTCGGTCCTTTTCGTTTCAAGGAGTATCATGATTCCACTGGCTCCTGAGGCTGCACATGCGAGTGCGACAAACAACCCTGTGGTCCAACTGGGTCGGTTATATCGATTTAGCCCCCACATGCATCCCGCGAGGCATGCCTGAAAGATAGTATTCCATAGGTTGCTCCAGATCACAAAGTCGAGTTTCCACAGGGCGGTAGGTGGGGCACGAGGTGCACACTGCGTAGAGCTTTGAGAAGCTAGACTCCTTGGGGAGTCTGGCGTTGGCTCAGCCGTCACTCCTAGCTCTAGCTGTAGCAACTGTGCAGGCGGAGTAACGGGCAGAAGCTCAGGCAGTCGCACCCAGTTCTGGTGTATCTCCGCCAACCTTTCCAACGCTTGACACGACTTTGTCTTGGCCCCCCCAACGCGCCACCCCACCCACCAATACATATCTCGGAAGCGCCAGGGCGCCAGTCCAAACCCAGGAAGGGAGAACAGAGCGTTCAGAACCTGAGAGTCAACCTCAATCCATTTCCTGTTCGCAGAATTGATATCATTGCAGCTTGGGTGGCACATTGCTGGCGATGCGTTACAGATAAGCAAAAAGAGCATGCCGCCCCAGGCCACAACGTTTAGACCGTAGAGGGTGACAAGGAAGCCGGTGGGCGTCAGAACCCAGTAAGTAAAGCGGAGAACATTGATCGCTGTGGAGAGTTGCCAGGGGAGATCGTTTTGATCTTGGGTGTGCTCTTGCTCTGGCGGCGTTGGCGTCACGGCTCTTTCACTTCCCTTCAGGACCTGCAGACAACGCGTCAGCAATGTCATAATGTATATGCGTTTTGAGGGCCCGGCAGACCTTCATTGCCAACGGCAACGTGCTCAATATTGAGAATGGTTCTATTGCCGTGACTGCACCTTCTTTCGGTCGCTACACCCGAGGATCGCCTAGCCTTGCACACTAGACGTGTGCTAAGGTGCCGCTGGGTATGTCTTGCGCGCAGATCTCTGTACAGCAACCGGCGCGAGAACTACGACGATCTATGATTTTGTTCGACTTGGAATCGAGGCTGAAACCTTCGTTGTAAGGCAGGGCGAACGAGCTGTTTGCTATATTCCCGCCAAAGGAAATACTCCCAAGAAATTCAAGAATGGATAGGGCTTAAGGACGGGAATTTATGATCTGTCTTGAACTGAATTTTCAGACTGAGTTCTCACGGCTTTCGTATAGATCAACTGTATTCCGTGCCCGGAGAGCGGAACGTGGAAAACACCAATATTCCAAGGGCCAAGCATACTTGGAACCTATCGGAGTTACTTCGGTGGAAAAGGATGCCCGTCAGTGGCTCGTTAAGAACACTTGTATTGTTTCTGGCGAAACTCGGATACTTGAGTATCTTACATGTCTACTTTAATATACAGTGTATGGCAGATACTGGTCCGCAGACAGTCTAGAATCTATGCAGTGGTGTCGTTACTATTACAGACTATTTCGTTCTAGAAATCCATAGTGCGAGACCATAGCCAAAAAGTTAAGTACTTGGCTCAGCCCTATCTTCGGGCCCCGCAAGTGGAGCCGTGCTCAATACACTACCACCACTTTATATACTACAGTGGAAACCGCTAGAGGGGGCATTTTTAGAATCATTAGATCATCCCGAAAGCGATGACCAAACAAAATGCAGCTAAGAGAATTTCTACCAGTGGTCTTGGGTTTCCAGTTGTCCTGTGAAGTTCTAGTTGAAGTGAGAGGTAGGCACAACAGCTCGAAGCAAACATCAGGCTGTAAATCCCAGGATTGAATTGGTATTGTCAGCCGTATTGGTACATACATGCCAATAAGGCAATGATCGATCATCGTCGATCAGATCTTTCTTGGGTCGTATTCGTACACTAATATGACCCACTGCCGCCACGCGTTTCCTAGCGTATTTCGTGCAAAAAGTGGGTACGATATGCTCGGAACCGAACGCTTAGTTCAGCCCCTTTCTCTAAATCTTCTATTCTATCAAAGTTTTCTGATGGCTCTAGCAAGACTTAGGCAATTCTTTGTAGGCTCGGGAGAACTCCGTAGCCGCGATGCCAAATGGAGTATCTCAATTTAAATCTCTATTAGCCTGACTCAGCCTCCACGAATTGACTCAGTGCTTGGAGCTTGCGCGCTGTATCTGTATCATCCACGGCGTATCTAGCTGCGGTTTTCGTTCCTCGGTTCGCTCGTATCCCCCCTCCTCTTCGTTCCGCCACATATCCCAGAAGCGAGAAGGTCATGGAGCAGAAGGCGAAGCGGGGGCCCGGCCTACTATACTTTCAGGGTATCAGAGAGAGTCCTAAAACACTGCGTGGTGTTAGAGACGCTGGTCCGTTCTAGGATGGAAACGTATATACATATTATTGTAGCCGGGTTCAATTGCAAAGGTCAATTCTCCCATGTGTTAAAGGAAGCTCTATCATACTGTTCATTCATAAACGTCTATTGTAAGAAGCCCTTTCGGTCTTCAGTCAAGGGCAAAGTGACATAAATCACGGCAAAAAAGAAGTATCCTTGTGAAACGAGCCCCCGTACGGACAAAGTCACTTGAACACGTCGGCCAACTGCCAATACACCCCATCCTGCTCAAAGTGTTTCAACGTTGGTTTCGCTTCCCGCGCCTCACTGTATCAAAGGTCCAAACTATGGCCTTCTGGTCTAAACCCGCATTAACGGCTCTTCGTGCTATAAACTCTCGCTCTCTTCCCCGTGCGTTAACAATTTGTTTCCTTGTCCCTGATCGTCCCGTGGCTTGAATACTCTTGCAGATTCCATGTCCGGGGTAGGCTACCAAGCCCAACATACCTGCAGGACAATCAATCAGTCAGTCTTGTGTTGTTTGTATAAGGAAGGTTTTTTGAAGGGCAAAAGCGTACCAGACCCAACTTTCGTCATAGTACCAATCGTCCCTTTGGCGATACCCTTCGCCGCACCTATGGCACCCTCATCCTTGGCTCCCTTATATGGCTGAACGAAGATATCCGTAAGACCACCAGCGACACCGTAAGCAAAGCTCTTGCCACCAATAGCAACACCAGATTTCCAGTCCCGTACAGGACCAAGGTCTCTCACATCCTCGCCATACAGGCGTGGCACTGCGCGCAGCCCCTCGGTGGTTGCGAGTGGGATATCAACAACCGCCCCTTTGTATGCATAGCCCACGAACTTGCCAAGGCTCTTTCCACTGGCTGCAAAAGCGGCACCCGTCGTCCCGGCACCTGTTCTTGGGCGCCCAGGATGAGGCTGCATATCTCTCATGGATTGCCCACCAGGCGAGCCCGCGCCCCTCGCCGGGGAGAGCTCAGGTAGAGACGCACTAGGCGAAGAATTAGGGGAGCAACCGCGGTGAATCTCTTTGATCGGTTTATAGAAGATATCCGTGCCGTGTTTGAGCATGTTGGCGCCCGTTACAACAGTGGCAGATGCGGTACCAGTGATGGGATCCCATCGTCGATTGTCGATTACTATCGGGTTCATGTTATGGCTGAGGGTTGGTCCTGAGTCAGCGTCATCCTGAGAGATTTAGATTGCTTGGTACGGGGCAGAATGGAAGGACTAACAGATGTATATGTTTTGCATCGATCCGTCTACTTTCCAACAGGATCTGTGCGGCAATACCTGACATATAGACTGGTTCTGAGAAGGACTTCCTGAATTCCCAAACAGCAGGCTGGTCGGGTAAGATTTGACACTTCATTCGTGTCAATGGCAGCTGCCTGTGAAATGAAGCCACGGCCGCCTGAACACCTGATTCCAACCGCATTCTCATAGCCATATCCTGCGCAGCTGCTAATGCAGAAGGTTGCAGACAAAACCCGATGGCCTGTGCAAAATTATGTGCATTAATTTCACGGTACGGTATTGGTTTGGGGCCGGCGCCCGACGCAGCCACCATATTGCCCCAAAAAGGCTGGCTGGAAGACATCAGTATGTTTCCCTGGCTCTATATCGGGGAGACCTTACTCTCCGAAGAAAGGGACGATGGTTGTCGGACAACCGTTTCGCAGACCGCAGGCGGTCGTGCCAGCACCACCATGGTGGACAACAGCAGCAACATGCTGGAATAGCCACTCGTGCGGGCAGTCATCTATGTAGAAGATATTGCGCGAAGGTGCTCCGCCTAACTTACTCCAACCACGGGAGATGATGGCGCGTACTCCAACGTTGCGAACTGCTTCAAGGATCGTCGCTGTGAACTTCTCGGGATCGTCAATAACAATGCTACCAAAGCCAATGTATACCGGCCGCGGTCCGTCGCGCAGGAAGGCTGTTAACTCCGGAGGAGGGGTGTAGCTGGGGGTTTCCCGAAAGAAAAATCCACAGACATCTGACACGGGCCGTCAGCAGTTGCTTAACCAGGATGGTGGATGTAAGGGTTTACCAATATGTGAGGGCCAGTCCCTAGGCTTCGGCATCAAAGCCGGTGACCAGCAGTAGGTGAAGGGCACTTTGAGGGTTTCTGCTAAACTGGGCCCTTCGGTGGCAGGCACTGGCTCCAAGTCTATCTCTGATCGCCATTTGTTGATCACGTCTCCTAACCTATGTTCTGATGTCAGCAGAGACCAGCGACCTTTAGGAACTCAATACCATCGTCCGTACGTACCCCTGCCATGTCATCCACTCCACGATGCCATATGAAAGATAGTTAGCGATCGGCTGGCTGGTATCTGAATGTTTCAAGTTTGCCAACGGATGTGGAAAGGCTTTGGTGCTGCTCCACGGCATAGTAAACATTAAATGGACCGGTACCCCCAGGGCCTGCGCGCAGTGGATGTGTGCAAAGCTAGGTGGATTAGCAATAATAGCGTCTGCCACAAACGGCGTCTGCGACATTGGATCATCTTCTATACAAGACTTCCAGCACCCGTGTAGCATCTCGGCCACCATGGCACGCTTCTTCTGGATGTCGCCAGCCCGCAAGCTCTTCATCTGTGGAATCAGCCCCGGATTCTTAACCATGTATGCCATAAGCTCGGCTGGATCCCCGCCGATGGGATAGAATTCGAGCCCTGAATCCCTGACAAAGGTACCGAAAACATTATGTGTCGCAAGACGCACTCGATGTCCGTGTTTCTGCAGTTCGTTGCCTAACGCGATAAATGGCTGCACATCTCCTCGGCTCCCGACCACGTGGATCACAATGTTGAGCCTGATCTCGCCTGTGGCGAAGCTGGGGTAGGTGGGAGGCGGATAGCGTAGGTCCTCTTCGCCGGGCAATGGGATGAACTTTGCCACGGCCTTACAGACCTTCGAGTCAAGGTCGACTTCAATCCGCCCGTCCGCTAGGAATTTGATGCTTTGTCAGGTGATTGTAAAAGGTGGCATGGTGCTTTGAGTTACTGTCATGCCGGTTGGTCACTTACCATCGACCTCCGTTCCACCTTGCATCCCATGGCTTGCGATTAGTTCATAGGGCGGCGGATCGTCCGACGGACAATATAAATCCTGATAGGGCATGGAGTGTGGTTTGTGATCGTTTGGTCTTGGTCGACGAGACGCGAAGTGAAGATACTGAGAAGCCAACCGTTCCCAGACTAGGGTTAGTACTTTTCCTTATACCCGTACCGGGTCAGACTGATGCGTTTGGCCGAGGGTGGTTGAATGTAGCTGGTTGACCACCCGAAAAAAGGTAAACTCTTGGGGTGGACGCCATTTCTTGTACTCGAATCCATGTCTGCGCAGACTCTGACTGAAAATTGATTGCTAACCCTAACCAGGTTCCCTATCTCGTACCCCAGGGTTGGTATCTCCATCGATTCTTTTGGGTCGTCAGAGGGCCCCACCATGCTAGGTTTCCCGCCATATTATATCAAGGTACCCCCGTTTTAGCTTTTTTAACTAGTTCAAACCAGTCAGATCGTAAAATTGGTTAGTGGAGTAGTTTCGGTAATGCATCGGTGCTATCGGGATTTCGGAGCAGAATGCTTCATGGTTGACTACGTATCAACGGAACCGGTGGAACCGGTACAGTATACGATACGGTATACGATACGTTATTTCGTGTTAGCCACCAGATGTACTATGTGCCCGGTATATTACTCGCTTTGCGATCCACTCACTGTATTGTGATAATAATAAATACAAAAGAGATTTCATCTTCCTGATACTCCCAATGCCGCTTTACAACTTTATGTCATATGTATGTTATGCATAGATATAATAGTAGCTTATGTTAGTTTAGGTTGTTCGTTTTTACATTAATACGTTAGAAGGGCACGACCGCCTAGCAAGGATCTGCAGTGTTAGTTCACCGCCTAAACTTATCTTCTAATCAAAGGGCTACGCTCACTATGTAGCGCAAAACCCGGCTATAAGCTTGTCTGCTGAGAAGTAGTCATACGGCGTGGCCCGGGATACGTCGGACGGAGGCGAGCCAGCTGACCCTTCGGCCCGCAGCGACTGGTGTTAACTGTATATGATCCAGCAAAAAAAGCTGCTATAATGCCATCCTCAGTATCTAAGGAGCAGTATTTCGAGTTCACTGATACAGTCACTCCCAGGACCCTGAACCACCATGTCAGCCTATGAGTGGCCAGTCGGTCAGATATCCCGGACAGCCACCGCTGAAGACTGGGGGGGACAAGGACTACTTGACTTTTAGGATCAACCAGTTGCTCTAGTAACAACCGGGAGAAAGGCCGGTGCCGGGTGGACAGGAGTAACGGCAGTAGCAACTTCCGAAGACGAACTCTTCCCTTGACTCGGATTAGAAAATGGCCAAGATCCTTTACGGTATGTAAGAGCCGGTGTAGCGAGCATATACTATGCGGTTGAACACACGCAATTGCTTCAACCCCGGACACTGTTGGAATCTTGGCCCTCATTGACGGACTGATTACCCTATAGCAGCGTATGCACTCTAGCACCGTGCTACACATAAGGGTGCACGTAGTTGTTCGTGCATATGAAGACCACGTAGACATCCCGTGCCAAATCGATATCCATATCGTAGGTCTGCACGCCAGCAGCTTCGCTATAATTATAGAGCTTTACGGCTCCGTATAGCTTTGGGGTTGTTTAAACTGGGTGAGTCGCGTGGATAGGAATAACAGCGACAACTAACATCTTCATCTAGTCAAGAGTCAGCAAGTAGTTGTTGGTGGTGGTGGTGGTGGGGTGGTGGGGGGAGAAGTAATACAACGCAACGCAGGCTCACAGGTGGAGAATAACTCACCCATTACAGCAAGTAACGGCAAATTCAGCACACGAGATGCGGTTCACAAACTTGATTTAGGCTGGGGAGAGGAATCGCCGAGAGCGGCAAACCAGGGCTGTGTGGTCAACCGCATTCACACATCCAATCCTATCTCCTTCACAACCCAGGACACATATGGTCTCCAATACTCGTCGAGATGATCCCAAACACCACGGGCGACATGGGAGCTCCACCCTTCCATCCACCAATGGTGTCTGAAATGATGCAGTACCAGGCAATAATGAGCTAGTATAACGAGAGCCATTGGGTCATGGTCCTTCAGCAAATCGAGATACTTTGGTTCAAGACCGAAAGGCCATCGCAGGGCGAGCTCAACTCGACGCGGCTTGTCCTGGTAGATTTCCATCATGTCTTTCAAATGGCTAATAGCCGAACCGTAGCAATCAGCGTCATGGTGGGCGATTTCGCTCCTTCGATACTGGTTGAGGCTCTCGAGATGTGAGATGGCTGCCTGAACGGCCTCAGGCAGAGGCCAATGTTTGGTGTCATCCACATTCACTAACATGTCCGCGAACTTCCCTTCTTTAACCCAGCCCCACGATGCGCCTATGATCTCACGAAGCCCTCTGCAAAGGGTGAATGCCTGGATAAGATCCCGGATGGAGTCATAAGTGTCTGCGAACGGCGAACATGGCGACATGGCGAACGCTAGTTGGAAAAGTACACCGGCGAAAGCGAATACAGTATGGCTGTTCTCACGGTTGATGGAAAGTACTACAGGTCGAAATAACGCGAGCGCACGGTTTTGATGCTCCAAGGCAATCGAGAAGTAGTGCGATCTGGGAATTTGATCGCCAGTCCTTGCCATATGCAGTGCAGACAATGCGAGCAAGCCATGCAGAACAAACGGGTACTCCAGGCCTTCCCTAGGCAGGACGTATTGATATATATGCTCGGCCTGTTTATTATGGGCCATTGTAGCGTATGTCGATGAACACCAGTGGAGAAGAAGTTCCATGTCGCGAAGGTTTAATTCTGGGGCTTGTGGAAGAGGTTCACTGCCGTGCATCCACCCCGGAGAGGGACAATGCAAGCTGCATGGCGCCTTGGTCTGAGCCGGAATATGGCTTGACGATAATCCAGGAGACGACTCCTCGGTATTCGAGCGAGGCAACTGCTCAGGGTCCTTTGGAGCGTAAAAGCAGGGGGTGTTTCGATTCTTGCAGTTCGCGCATTCGGGTCGACGCTCATCGCACTGTAAGCGCATGTGAGTAACTGACAAGTGGTCCATGAAGTAAGTAAAAGCTGGGCGTACCTTAACCCGTCGCCGTTTGCAAGCAATGCATCCGTGGCGAGATTTGCGGTGAGACCGACGCGACGGCATGGCAAAATCTCGATTCAATACCTGGCAAAACCTAGTAACTAGATCGTTTAAAGAGTGCGAGGTCCACAGATTGCTTCGTAAACATAATCTGCTCCCCTTTTTTTTTTTTGCGAGAGGGATTGTTATTGGTAGACAGTATTTGCAGACTAGTTTGCCCTACCGCGCGACCCTGGTGATCTCATAATGTTTTGTTGCAAGTGCAAAGGCTTCCCGCAGGTAGTCACGTGTATGGCGGATTATGTGTAAGCGAATGTATGCTTGTCTTATTGGGTGGCCGGGACTTCCACAGACTATAACGACGACCACTCCACACTATCTCGACAAACCTTTATTCTCCGCAGACTGGATCTCTTGGGACAGAAACAATGATTCTACATAATATTGACGCTTGGGAAATCAGTAATTCAAGGTGGTAACTTATCTTGCGATTAAAATATAGGAACATACAGCCGTAGATCACATGACGCTAGGCTGACCGTTGGGATGGGACGGGATGGGAATGGGAATTTCCCATCCCATCCCATCCCATCCTTGGCATCCCATTTCCCATCCCGTTTTCCCTCTTGGCATCCCGTTTCCCATCCCATCCCAAACATAGGGCTAGAACGGGAATCCCATCCCGTTTAACCGCACAAAACGGGATTCCCAATCCCAATTTTAAAATGGGATGGGATTCCCATCCGGATTAACCATAAAAACGGGATTCCCATCCTTGTCTTGGCATTATTTTGGGATTTTGGGATGGGACGGGATTCCCATTTCCCATCCCAAAATCCCAAAATCCCATCCCATCCCGAAATCCCTGGGATTATCCC